CATAATCTGCCTTTAGCATGCATGTTATAGGCATTATGTATATGACGATGGTTTCTCTGGAACATCACTATCACTATCACTCTCCATCATAGGCTGACTATGATATCATCTTAACTGCCTCACAGACATCTGCTCAATTTTGTTGGGCACACGACAAAGCCAGGGTCCACGAGGGGATACCTTCCCCGAGTGGAAAATACCTCAACAACACGGGACGATCAGTTCGGCCGCTATGACAGTACTGATGCGTGACAACAGAACCGGGAATCCTCACACAATACTCCGTACACACCGGACAATTATCCCTGGCAATGAAAATCGGGTGGAACTTTGTTTTCAACACCCCAAGGCAACTTGCCTGATCGGTACTTGGGAGATAACAGCTTTGGGACCGCGACATATCGAGCAGATGGTCTTTTCCGTGATAGGCAAAGTAACCGGACGATCCAGGAGACGACTTGAAACTTTCACTTACGCTTGACATGTGAAACGCACAACTGCAGTCTCGAATGAGCCGAATACAATGCAACCAACCCGATGGAGCGGGGGTGCCAGGTTCTCGTACTCGGAACGATATTCCCCTGGGCGGGACAGCTGAGAGATTGACTTGCTTGGGATATTGTGGGCCAAGCTTGGCAGACACAATTCGGGTCACTGCCACTGTGGTGTGCTGGGTATGATATGACAACTAGCAACTCAACATTGCAGGCTTATACATACATAGTAGATGAGTCTACGATGATCTATGAGCCTACAATGTATGTGGTGCATTCGAACCTTCACGGCCTCATTCAGAAATCCGCACTCGCCGAAGTTGAGGGTGTACGCGTTCCCATTTAGTGCTCCACCAACCGGCACTATGGATCGTCGATTTTGCCGAGCGACGTGACTGATCAAAGAATATTCCGGATTTCGAAGCGTACGTGGATGAGTCTTGGCAACAGGAAGGAACAATTCTTTTGGTAATTTTCATTTTACCAAAACCCTGGCCTTTTTTGCACTCGGACTTTTACCATACGAACTGTACCATACATACAATACCATACACGACTCCACAAAACACCCCTGACTATCCGTGACATCCCTGTGCGTCAGCCTGTGACGTCGTGTCTATGTTGTATACGCGCCTCAGTGCAATACAACATACAATGACTTTCAATGTACAACATACCTTGTAGACCCTCGTGGGCCCTTTGGTTTTATGGAATCCACCGGTCCAAACGGGGCACAATCGGATATCAGGAATGAAGGACCCAAAGCCAAGACTCGGACATAGCGGATAGGAACGTTGCCACTCGCGGGGAGGCATACACACATCGTACTTAGGGACTATGGTTTGAGCCTCGTCATTGGCACTGCCACTGCCGAATGCCCACTACGGAGTACACTTCATTGTTCTATTCGATCTCCCTGAGGATCAGTTGTTCCGGAGTCTGGATTCTTTTTTTAGGATCTTTTTTTTAATTTTTGTTTTTTAATTTATTCTACTCTTCCCCTTATCTCCATATCAATCTCTTATAACCCCCCTTCCTTCTAGACTTTTTCCATACATATTGTCCCTTCTTTGTCCGGCTTTATTACTTCTTTCGTTTATATCATCTACTTATTCTGTCTCTATACACTTCCAAACTATATCGAATTGCGATTGAGCTGATAAACACCCACCATGTCTCTCATGCTCTCCGATAATCTGGCTCCCCAGCCCATTACCGACGTCTTCACCAATGATACAAACATTAACCGCCGGAAATGCCACCGCACTGTGCCTATGAAGGTCCTGGCTCTGGGTGTTGGCCGTACCGGAACTGCCTGTAAGTATGAGGTGCTGTGTTGCGTTGGACTTGGTGTATATTAGTGTATATACCGGGTCCGATGGGAACAGAACATACAAACTAATTATTATTTCACAGCTCTCCGCAAGGCTTTTGAGCGCCTGGGCTATGGCAAGTGCTACCACATGATGTGCGCAAGTGTTGAGAACCCGCCGGACTGCTTGATGTGGCACGATGCCCTGAACGCGAAGTACGACGGAGTCGGCGAGTTCGGCCGCAAAGAATGGGACCAGCTCCTGGGTGACTGCCAAGCCGTCTGTGACTGGCCTGCCTGTGCCTTTGCGAAGGAGCTGATCGAGGCCTATCCCAATGCGAAGGTCATTCTGACTACCCGTGACGTGGACCCATGGCATGCGTAAGTCACATTTTATACACTGTGTTTCTGATCTAAGAACAAGATACTAACAAACCACAGCTCCGTCATGAAGACTGTCTTCTGGCGTGTCTCAGACCCAGAGCACAAGTTCGTGTCGAACTTCAGCTGGGCCGCTGGCATGTACTACCCTATGCTGAACAAGTTCTTTGAGACATTCTTCCGCGGTGACTTCCCGGGCAAGGGCAAGCAAGTCTACGAGGATCACGTTGCCCAGGTCCGCAGCCTGGTTCCCCCCGAGCGTCTGCTCGAATACAACATCAACGACGGCTGGGCCCCGCTCTGCGAGTTCCTCGAGGAGGAGGTTCCTGACACCCCCTTCCCCCGCGGCAACGACATGGCCGACTTCTACAAGCGCTGCAGCACCCGCAACCGTCACCAGATGATGAACGTTGCCCTCCAGGCCGTCACTGTTGGTGGTTCGCTGCTTGCCGCTGGCCTTGCTGCTACTTTGGCTTTCAAGCGTTTCTCCCCTCGCTAAAATTCTTGTCTTGCATCTTTTTTCTTTTTCTCATATTCCCCACGTCTCACTTTCTCTGCTGGCTGCTAGTGCGCGCAGGCGCCGCTAGTACGTCAGACCCCGTGGCTTTTTTTTTTTTCTCTGTCATCCTTCTTGTTGGAACAGACCATGCATCTATCATCTCTGATCTCTTGTTTTGCCATTTACAGGGGCGTTTTGGAGAACAATCCGGTAATGTAACAGTATATATTTCTATTTCTACCATCATTTCTTATGCATACTCTGTACAAGCGCATCATAGCACCCCCGCTTTCAAATCGAGGGATAAACACCAAGTACCCGCTTCCCCGAGGCTCTGTTATCATCATGCATTGCCTAGAGGCAAGGGGCTCCTAGAGTTTTGGCTACGTGAAGCCTTACTTTTCATGAATCGGTCGATGCAAGGCGCCATTGAATTGTTATTAAAGTCAAACCGACAAAAGCGTGCGAAATATATACGAATCAATACTTTGACGTTTCGCTACATACAATAAACCTTGAGAATAGAAGTATGCTCATAACGACAATCTTGCATGTACACATAGCAACCGCTTCAAATAAATAAACACCCAACCATCGACACACTCAGCCCCAAGCCTTCCACCTCGTACTCGTACGAAACCAGAGGAAATGTACCGGCCACACCTTATTGGAGAAGTGCCGTGGAGTTTCCCTGGTTAGCGGCTTGGCAGTGGGCGAAAGGGGTATTAATTACGTGAACCTGCGTTCCAAACATTGAAAGTTACACGTATTGTTATCTCCTGTTATATCCTTGTAAGGGAAACAATCATCTGATACAACGTGGAACTGCTTCTCTCTATTCGATACGAAACAAGCGGGGCTTAGATTGCTTCTTTCATTCTAGGCGCCGGAGTGGATCCCCTAGAAGGCTTGAATTAAAAGCTTTGACGGATGTACGTAATATAGACGGAGTGGTATACGTGGACTTAGTGGCTGATGGGTTCGTTGCTCGTTATTTTGGGATTGAGGAGTTCGTCCGGGCCTGGATATTTGAGACTACTATTCGGGCTTGGACTGGTGTTCTTGGATTTGAACCCTGTTTGGCACAGCATATGAGAGAAAGAAAGGTCTGTATCTTAGCTGTGGTCGTGGACACCTGATAGGTCCTCTTAGCTCTGGTGGGTACGCCGAAAGGAGTATAAGATCCCTTTTCATCTAATGTCTTATCTATCCGCTGTAGCTCTTAATGTTGAATGATCTACTTCGTGCAAAATAAGATGTCCCTGGAGAATCTCACACACGGGCTCGTAAATCAATCAACATATGGTGTCTGGTACGACAGTATCCATATCGTCCGATGTCTACCTCCAATTACGGACACTAAATTATGCACAAGGCCAAACTGTAGGTCCAAATCCAATGCACGTGTACGCCGTACGGACCAGAATAGATGCTGCAACAACAGCCCGCGTATGCTCTGACGACGCACCATGCGCCACCGCCGTCCCTGAACCAATCCCCCACTTTCAATCTACCGGCGTACGCAACAAATAATGCCACATGCACGTGGCTTTTAGCTTTTAGCTCGATCGGAGCGCCTGGAATCGTAGAAGCCCGATCCATTGGTTGCATCTCCCGAACAGGTTAACTCGTCTCCGGATTGAGCTGTCTGTCTGAGTGTGGCTGGCGGGTGACTGCGTATCTCCGAGACACGTTACATGGTTCTTCACGAACCTTTGACGGACCCGTGAATTATAATTGCTCTCGGACATTCAGCTTACGGAATAGATACGATCTCGGAGTTATGGTATTAGGGGCTGCTTAGCGGCTGCCACATCGCCCATGACGCGGCTCCTGAGAGATACCGTACCGTCACACTATCTAAGTTACACGTATTTGGGAAAGAAAACAACAACCGAGTTAGACAATCAAGCCTTTTGAGGGAGAATATCCTGTTCACAGAGCGGATTGTTAACCTTGATTCCGCTCGTATAGACTTCCCCCGCAACTTCAGCAACTGAGACAACTTTGACTGGGCAGCGATGGCCGGATTGCCGCTGACTAAGCATCTTTGTCTAGCTTTAAATGACAATTGACCAATGAACGTCGACGATCAACACAACTTAGGCCCCACTAGATATGCGAAAAGCATGCATTGACAGGTGGAGAGGGATTCGTACACACTGTTCGTTCACCTTGGGCCTCTTGGCCTGGGTGGAATATTCTTCTATGCTTCTAAATGATTTGCTTTCAGTATAACCTCCCTTACAGATATTTTTTTGGGTGATATTCTTCAGTGTTTCTATCTTGCATCGGGAAGTGGTGCGAAGGATCCATGGGCACCTCCCTATTTTCCTCTTTAGGGACTGCGCCGTCGCTATTCTTTCTTGGCATTCTCTGGTTATGCGCGATTGACTGTACACTGGGAGAGGATACCTCTTTTTACAAATCGGTTAGTGAAATTAGCTTGACCCGAGTGTGCTTGCTCTCTAATATCGGTACAACAGAGACCCGACATATACCCGCCCGTCTTCAATATCGAGAGGACCAATCCAGACAAGCTCAGCCCGGGCTACATCTTTATCACACCATATGAACTTCAAAACCCCGGCCCATACATCTACGATAACACAGGGGTAGGTCTTTGTTCTTGGGGTTCAGATTCGTCCATCATGGAGAAGCTAACCCATCAATCGATCATAGGAATTAGTATGGAGTGGTTGGGGGATTTCAGGGCCGGGAAACGCCCATGGACTCCACGTGTGCAAGTATAAAGGCGCCGACCACCTATGTTTCTTCCAGGGCAACCAGCAAAAGGGATACTGCCGCGGACATGGAATCATCATGGATAACAACTACCGGGTTGTGCGATCAGTTCAGCCGGGCGGAGGAATGGCCTCGAGCGACATGCACGAATTCCGTCCCATCAATGACGGCAAGACCGCTCTCATGACCATTTACCAACAACGGCAATTCGACATGACACCGTGGAACGTCAAAACTGGTGTAGGATGGCTCATGGAGAGTGTTTTCCAGGAGATCGACGTGGAGACCAACGACGTGCTGTTTGAATGGCGGTCTCTCGACCATGTCGATCCATCCTCGAGCTATACATGGCCGGCTCATACGGATACTTCTGGGACGGGATTGAATGTGCATGAACCGTGGGATTACTTCCATATCAACTCTGTCGACAAAAATGCGGCCGGCGACTATTTAATTTCGTCGCGGCATACTTCGGCCATCTACAAGGTTTCCGGTAAGGACGGCTCGGTGATGTGGCGGCTTCACGGCGCGCAGCCCTCTTTCCGGAATATCAATTTTAGCTTTTCGCAGCAACATGACGCCCGGTGGTTGTATGAGAATGCTACGCATACACTGCTCTCACTCTACAACAATGGCTACAACGGCTTCAACAAGACACATACCTATTCAGCGGGCATGATCATCATGATTGACCACGTGGAAAAAACGGCTACCCAGCTCCGCGACTACGCTCCAATCCGAGACGATCTAGTGAGCTCCAGCCAGGGAAACCTACAGATGCTCCCCAACCAAAACGCGTTCATCGGATGGGGAAACAACCCATTTGTATCCGAGCACGACGAGGCGGGCAATCTACTGTTCTGGGGCTCTTTCGCCAAAGACACCGTGATGAACTACCGCGCAATGAAGTTTGAATGGGACGGTGCACCGACAGACTCTCCTGCCCTATGGACATACTCCCGAAGCGCGGAGACATCATCGACCACCAGCTTCTATGTTAGTTGGAACGGCGCAACCCGCGTCCAGACCTGGCGATTTTGGGGAGCGATGAACGCCACTGGACCTTGGACCTTGCTGGACGAGGTTTCCAAAACCGGCTTCGAGACCAAATACTCCACCCCCAAGTTCTACCTCTGGTCTAAGGTCGAGGCAGTGGATCGCGAGGGCATTTTGCTCGGAAAGTCCGAAACCAAGTATACCTTCGTGCCCTCGTCCGAGCTGCGCGAATTTTGCGCCGAATCTACCTGCTTGGACGCACCGGGGTATGGGTTCCCCGGCGAAGAGGCAGCTCGTCCTTTCATTCCGCCAGTAGGTGTCAATACCGTGCCATGGATTGACCCTAACAACCCGGGCTCCAATATTTATACACATCCATCGGGCTATGCAGGCCCGGCTGGAACTCCAAAGTACTCAGACCGGTGGAGGAATGGCCGTAAGTATATCCTGAACATGCTTTCTATTCTTCCAGGAAGACAAGCAAAACTGACATTTTCACAGGCCTACTTGCCTGGGGTGCCGTTCTCCTCGTGGCGATCCCCCTCTTCGCCGGAATCTTCCTCGCACATCGATATTATACCAGACATTCGCTCACCCAGCTGCGGGATCAGGAATCGTCTACGCCTGTGGACGGTACGGCTGAGCGGAAACACCCGCCTGTGCAAGCCACCGACCTCCGCTGGTGGAATTGGCGTCGATGGGTCGGAGAGGACGAAACAACTTCCTATTTCCCGCTCGTTGAGCGGAGTCTATACGGCCATAGGCGTGAACGAGAGCGGATCGAATAGTGACTCCTCGTTCTTGTATCTTTATTTCTTGCTTCTTTTTTGCGTTCTAGATGCTAGCTAGTTACTCGGCGCTGTACATACATACTACCATAACATATATCCATAGACTGATCGCTATACGCATTATATCTCGTATCAGCCACCCAAATAGGAAAAAAATCCTGTTACATCGTGTATCTATGATATAGATCTAGAAGTCTATGATGGGCCCGTAGACGTTTCCACCGAGTAATATAATTCGTGTATCCGAAAAATCCGCACCTATTGTACATACGCATTGGGCATACGTACCTCCGGATCGAGGCGGAGCTGCTTACTTTCGCGATGGGTATTCTTCCTTCGTATTGATTGCTTTGTGAATAATACGACCTCGTTGTATTTGTGGTTAGCCTAGCTGGTGCAGATATAGCACAAGCACGATATGACTACTTCTATAGGCTTATGTAGTATGAGAATTATATATTCCACCTCTATATCGATTAAAGTATGCAGGTGGAAGGCCGCGTATACGTTTGTATCGTACGTGATGTATGGCGATGTATCGAAGTGGCTTTTTTCGCGCCGGTGTTCGCTCGGCAGAAACTTCTTGATATTAATTCAATTTAATATTTTTACAATAATAATTCTGTACGGAGTATTATATTCATGTAATTCTCAAAAAGCAGCGGACTATTCCCTGCATTAGTTCCACGCGGTCGCGAATATCCTCTTCATGACGCTATACTCAACATAAAAAGGTGGGATGAATATCTCCACCATACGATCCCACGAGGGTCTCCAGGGTGAATGATGGATGACACGGTAGAACTCCCAATACTCCGGCCAGAAACCAGCCAGGCCCCAGTCTAATAGAACAACAGTGCCATCAGCCCGAACAAGTATATTCCCGGCATGCAAGTCCCCATGCGTAAACACGATCTTGTGATTTTTGATACCTCGGACCGTCTGATACAGCATGTACTCGCTGTTGAAAAAGCTCGATTCGACGTCATGTTCACCCTGGAGCACTTTAAAGGGCATACGATCTCGCAAAGCTTGAATCATTCCCTCGTCAAAGCTTTCCTCGGATGGGTACGGGCCGTGGCTGTAGCTAGTGTAGTCGCCGTAGCCGGCCTCGAAGACGCCATCCCGACAAGGTGATCCGTCAACCCCACCGATGAAATCGCCGGGAATCTCCCGCATCTGGTTCACGCAGTCCCGTAACTGCTCTAGGACGCGATCTTGCTCGGTTTTCGGAACACGGTCCCAGTATTTGTTGAGTGGTTCGCCCACTTCATATGACATTATTATGTATCCGACGCCATCGAGGATATATGCACTGAGAAGCTTTGGTGTTGCTATGGTCGTGCGGGTAGATGCTAGGTGTAACGCTTCGGCTTCAGCTAGGCGGACACCATGGCTGAATTTCGCAACTGTGTCTGAATCTGCGAAAAGAACACGCGCGCCCATTTTGTCGGGACAAAGGTTGGTTGCTTTGGGCAAGTCTTCGGGGTCGAGTATGATAGATGGCGGTTCAATGATGTCGGAGTAAATTAAGCGAGGTTTTTGCTCCTCTATTTTCAAGCCATGGGGAGAAGTGCTGCCGGTATTCATAGCGGAAGCTGTAGTTTCTTCTTTCACGCCGGTCTTCTCCATGTCAGTACTGGCTGCCGCACTGGTATCTGGTGTCTTGAGGTCGTTGTTCCCTGTTGGATCCTCCGCAAGGCTGCAACTAGGAAGAATGTCACATTCCGCGAGCGATTCCCCAGTACCGCCATATCGAGGTGGGAGTTGTGAGCCAAGATATCGAGCAAGGTCCTCTGGATTTTCCAAAAGTACCGTATCTCTCAATAGAGATTCATTGATATCAAGAGTTGCAAGGTATTCATCACGAGGTTTGATGATGTATGCCTTTCCCAGAATCTTAGGATAGTGACACCGAATGAATGTCACCAATTCCTCAATGGCATTGCTGATCTTCCCCTGGAAGGACTGCTGTCCTCTCTTGGTGTTTTGAATGGCATGTATCTTAAATTCAACCACACAGGAAGCCGAATAGTCATGTAGATCAGAACTAGCGGCTGCATGCATCAGAAGCACGGAGAGCTTTTGCATTACAGCAAGACCCAACTGCACCAAGAATCCAGATGTCGTCAGGCTTGCGTGTATTATTGAGTATCTCTTAATCGCCATCTCGTCAATATTAATCCACAGCACATATTGACCCTCATTCAAAGTAATATGGCATAGATCCAAGTCAGGAAGGATAGTCTCTGCTTCAGTAAGGAGAGCTCTCGGGTCAGAGAGGCTTCTCCATTCTAAAGTCTTCTCGAGTGAGGCACTTGCTCTAGAGAGTTGAAGTGCAAGGATTGCGGAATGGCATCTGAGGAACTATTTATGATTTAGTGACAAATCTCGGTGTGCTAGTGCGCCCATAATCAGAGTACCTTTTCTAAGACCACCTCCAGCACCTGCCATTCCGCGTGCTTCAAATCAACACCCCATATCTCAGTATGGCGGGACTTTTTCAAAATCGAAGGAAGAGCATCCTGAAACCGACTAGCCAGCGAAGTTGTTTTCTCCAATGAAACAAACATTGTCAATATGAGGCATACTAAAAGGAGGATGAAAGGCTGTCATTCAAATTGGCATCAGAAATTTCGACTGTAGGTCTATCAAAGACCTAAATGCCGTATATAGAATCGAATGGTTACTGTATTCTTGCTTGGGAGAAAGTGATATCGAGCTTGTTGATGTTTTGAGCCGTGCGGGGCCCCATGGGGCCTAGTCACTTCAATATTGATGCCCAGGTGTCCATGCTAAACCAATGGAACCAGCGTACGAAGGATATCTATTTATATTTCCATTTCTTTCAGCTTTGACACCTGAATACGCGCCGGGGCACGCCATGAGGCTCTTATCACCAATAAATCGGAGTTGCCTAACTACCGCCGATCTCTCGGGCGGATGTAGATCTGGAGCGGTGTGGGGAAGGGGACATTTAACTACATGTGACAACTACATACTCCCTTTACTCTACCAGTGTTAATCATGGTATCCTCCATGTACGGCCTTTCAGCAAACATCTACGGCCGCGGCGACGCCAAACTCAGCGATGGCCCCTCCCACATGGGAATCGCCATCTACAAGCACGGCTCCTCCACCTGCGAAATGCACCATATACGCAACCCCACCGACGAAGACTTCATCTACGATCCGCGGACACAGCCACTGGAAGACCCGATTTTGAAAGGTCGCTACGAGTTTGCCTCCCTCTCTTCTGAGCAGAGCCAACAAGCTGCTAGCCTGCTCTCGGAATTTGGGAACGACGAGTCAAATATCCCCGAGTTCGGGGTTGGGAATTGCCAAGACTGGGTCGCTGGCACTGTTGAAATGCTTGAGCATGCTGGTGTTGTTTCTTCTGGGGAAGGGGGATTCTGGAAGAGTATGATCAATAGGAGTTCGGAGGAAATGAAAGACGCGTGTTTTCAGGAGGGAACGACGTGGATAGATGGTCCGGAGTCGACGTATGAAGGGGAGCCCGATGCAAGGTTTATGGATAGGGAATGGGATATAGTAAAACCTGTTGGTAAGTTGGCTCAGAATGAGATGTTTCGGGCGCGAATGCAGTCGCTTTTGGGCCCCAAGAGGAGTGGAGAGAGTGATCATGATGAGACGCCTGTAGAACGGCCGTTTTATGTGTCGAGTCCTTTTTTTAGTAAAACGAATGAGAGGAACGAGTGATGCACTGATAAAGCATACACTGAATTGAATATCGCTTGAAACAGTATACGGAGCTATAGAAGGAGTCCAAGCATCAAGACTTCGCAATGTCCGTGAGTTATCCACAAGGATGGAGTCACCGAGCGGGCGTGGCACTTCCCTGCGCCCCTCCCGAGATCGGGACTTCAACCAAGGTTGGAAGAAGGCGGGATGACTAATTCATTTATTGTAGTTACATACTACGCACCTGGGTATACGTATACCTCCGGAGGGAGGCGGAGTTGGTTTCGCGCTGGGCATTGATCCGAATACGACTGCTTTGTAGAGATACAATACGACCTTGTTAGGATTGTTAATTTGGCTAGTACATACATGTATGTGGCGTGGGATACAATGTATATAGGTTATCAACTCCTAGCTTCGCCTTGTAGGGTTAAGTATGCTGTGGCAGGACTGAAGTATACATTTGTATCACCTGTACGTGGTGTATCAAAGCGGCTCCACAAACGTGGATGTGGCTGATACGCTTGAACTCTATCCTGTACCATGGTAGAACCGCGGTAGGACCACGGTTATTAATTGTTTTTTTGTATTGATGTATTGTAAAGTACTGTAAAGCAACTAACTGTTCAAAACGTTCTCCTCCTTAACGCCAAGACTTCCGTCGTCAATCGGCAGGGAGGTGTGGAGCGGTCGTCGCAAGCCCGTCGTTGTCGATCTATCATACAACTTATGGATTTTATATTAAGGGATTTGATTTAAATGTTATGTTCAATATAAAAATAAAGTTCTTTATTGTGTACAAAGTTGTAACGGCATTCTCCGGCTGGTGGGCCTCAATTAGGAACCGAGAAAAAACGTCATCGCAATAACATAGGAGAAATCGAAGTAAAATAAAAAAATACAAGTCTTCCAGTTTTCTCTTCTTTCCATTCTCTCTATCATAGCCAATCATAATTAATATCAACAACTACGGAACCCAAACCACGAAAAATACGTGGAACCGAGGCCTTTGATCGTTACGGCGCCGCGCTTTACACTAGTGCATTCCTCAATGACTAGGACTGGAAATCATAAAACGAATAATGCCCGCCACGCGCGTACGACATCCTGGTCGAGTGGCTTCCATTTCACCCAGGGCACCGGGGAACCCGAAAACACCACAGGCCGCCGCCGACGCGAGTCCAATACCTCCCTCGCCAGCGTTGAAGAATATTCCTCCCACGACTCGCTCGACTCGCCCGTCTTCGATGATAACATGCTAAGGAATACCTCGATGGATTTAAATGGTGATCGAAAAGCACAGCATGTGCGCGGCCGCTCTATCAGCCATGGCCTGCCACAGGTACTGACCGTGCAGGAGAATGAGCTCCCGACTGTGTCCGCGCCAGCGCGCCCTGCGCTCGTAACATGGATGTCGCTGCCGCGAAAGGGTCAATTGGCGTTGTTGGGGCTCTGCCGTGTCTTTGACTTCTTGCAGATCGCTTCGCTGCAGGCCTATATGTTCTATCAGCTCAAGTCCTTTGACCCGAACCTCTCCGACTCGGATGTTGCGACCCAGGCGGGAATTCTCCAGGGTGCTTTTACCGCTGCTCAGTTTGCGACGGCGATCCCTTGGGGTCGTGTTGCCGATGCTGAGTGGGGCGGCCGAAAGTTTGTTCTGCTTGTTGGTCTGATTGGCACTGCTATGTCTTGTTTGGGTGTCGCCTATTCGACGTCGTTCGCGCAGGCCGTGTTCTGGCGCTCGTTTGGTGGCGGCATCAACGGCACCGTTGGTATCATTCGAACTATGATCGCGGAGAATGTCAAGGAGAAGAAATATCACTCACGCGCTTTCTTGATTTTGCCTATTGGGTTCAACATAGCTTCGTTATTTGGTCCTGGTGAGTACCTCATTCTGTCAATGCTGTTCGCGGCCATGCGACAATTTGCTAACCAGTTTCGCAGTGATGGGTGGCATGTTGGCTGATCCCGTTAAGAGCTACCCTCGTCTTTTTGGGCCCAATTCTTCCTTTGGAGGTGCGAACGGAGTGCAATGGCTCGAGACGTACCCGTACGCCCTGCCAATGTTCGCAAACTTCTGTTTCCTCTCTTCAACTGCAGCTTTGGTTGCGTATGGATTAGAAGAGACCTTGGCATCTTGCAAGGGCAAGCCTGGCCTGGGTGCATTTGCGAAGAAGATGTTTGCGCGCGGCGTGAGGAGAGTGGTCCCCTCTTCATCATCCTTATACACAAGGCTTCCGCACGGCGACTACGAAGAGGACGGGCCTTTGCTAGACCGGCCCACGGATCGCTCAGAAAGCTACGAGCTCGAAGAAAAAGCGCACAAGCCTGCCCGTCTCCAACGTGCCCTGCCTTTCCGAAGAATCTGGACCAAGAACGTGTTGTGCACACTGGGCGCACAGGCTTTCTTCGACTTCCAGATGGGTGCCTTCAACAACCTCTGGCTACTCTTCTTATCTACCCCCCGCTATGATTCCAATGACCCCGCGAGCCCCGCACGGAGCTTGCCATTCGCCTTCACCGGCGGACTGGGCATGCTGCCGCAGAGCGTTGGCTTTGCGACCGCCATTTTGGGTGTAATTGGTATGGTCCTCCAATTCACCATATATCCTACTATCAATGGCCGTCTGGGAGCAGCCAAGAGCTACCAGTATTTCCTCGCCCTCTTCCCGATCGCATACTTCATTGCTCCCTATATCTCACTGGCTCCGTCTACAACTCCCCCTCCTGGCCAAGCCAACGGCCCCTGGGTCTGGTTCTGGATCATCATCGTCCTCTTCTTCCAGGTCACTGCCCGAACCTTTACTCTTCCCACCTCTATTATCCTGTTGAATAATTGCTCGCCACACCCATCCGTCCTCGGCACAATTCACGGAATTGGCCAGTCCGTATCGTCAGCCTTCCGTACCATTGGACCTATATTTTCAGGCGCGTGGTACGGATATGGTCTGGATATTGGCATGATCGGCTTCGCCTGGTGGATGATTGCCTTAGTATCCGTGTTTGGCTGTCTTGCGGCTATCTTTGTATATGAAGGTTCTGGACATGAGATTCTTCTTCCTGGTGAGGAAGAAGACATCTGATGTGATACGATATAAGCCTGTCTTTTTTCTCGAGAGTTGAGTTGTACATTGCTTCAACATTTTGCATATAAGGTGTCGGTTGGGGTCTTTTTGATATTATGCCTCGCATCTGTTTTTCGTTTTTGTTTCTTGGATACCATTTGCTTTGCATCTTTCGTTATATTGCGGCATTTTCATTTGTCTTCCTATTTTAAAATAGAAAAATCCAGACACTGCTCTGGTCGGCTGGTCCTCGCAGGATCAAATTGAATGAAGGCCAATATACCATATACAATCTTTCCAACCTTTGTCCTTCAACAACCTCGGTGTATTATATCAAGTAAATCAGTCCACATTTTAAAAGGATCTTATCATGTATTTTAATATTCTCATATCTCCACAGAAGTAACTTACAAGCTAGCCCCATATCCCTTGACATAGCTCGCATCAAAAGTCTCCTTATTGACCGCATATTCGCGAATATAGTCCCTCTCAAGATCGTGCGTCCTCCGACCAAGAAGAACAAGACTGTGCAACGGCGCGCCCATCTCAACAGTAGACAATTCCTTAAGCGTACCAGAAACAAGCTTCTGATTAGCAGCACCAACACGCGCCGCACCAACAGCCAAACTATCCGGCCCATAGACACCCTCCTTCCGCTCCTCCTCCGTCTCCAACATTTGTGCCGCACATTGTGCAACAGTCATGTAGCGCGGGGGCTCGAAAATGCGGCGTCCGCGCGCCATATTCTCCAGTGACTGCTCCTTGACTTTAATATCGAGCAGGACTAGTGTGTGTAGGCCGGTCTGCACGTTCTCGCGCACACGATCGTAGTACGATGACGGCTTCCAGGTCTCGGTGAAGAAAACCATGCTGACTGTTTGTCCGAAGTTGTACAGCTGGAGCCCCGTGCAGCCAATTCCGGACATGATGGAGGCGTTCGGGACGACTCTGGTCTCGATTCCAAGTTCGCGCGCGCGGAGGACAAGGTCAGTATGCGTTGTTGCGCTGTTGGTGGTATGTTTTAGCTAGAGATCTTGTAGGGGAGATGTATCAAGACCGTACCCGAATGGGTCTCCCACTACCAGGAACACAATATCGGCTTTGTCGCCGCCGGCGAGGATGTCATTACTGCCAGTCTCGACTAGTTCACGGTCTGCCTCGATGACGGAACGGCCATAAAACGCTTCCTACTGGTATTATGTTTAATCAGTCCATCTGCGCGAAAGATATAGATTGACTCATTGGCATATGGGATTCAAAGTAAAGACTTGGAGCTCAACTCACCAATTTTTCCTTATCGACAAGAAGAATACTCGTGTAAGCCTCTAGATAGACTCTCTCGGCCCGCTTGACGATCTCTAGACCGCGGACGGTGATATCCGTCTCATCGGCGAGGCCGAGTCCAACTAGATAGAGCATCCTGACAATAAGATCTCAGGCTATGCAATTGAGCAGAATACAATGAATCTCACTGTATAACAAGCAGTTAGGTAAAAAAACAGCCGTGCCCCGCATGCCGGCAGAATACTCCGCCACCGCCGGATAAAAGATGCCGGATCAAAGAACATCCGGTTATCGCTTATCGTCCCCAGATCGCCCTGTGCTTGTGTGAACGTCCAGAGCTTCATCTCCTCTTCATCTCTCACTTGTCTTCAATCAATCGAAGAACATTCACTCACGCTAGAATACTAGTGTAACCCTCATCTTGATAATCGAAGAAATTCTCTTTGGTAGGGTTACCACCACCCATCATGAGCTCCGATCGAAACCCGAAGTATCGGCAGGAGATACAACAGGTGAGTCCCTGATATCTGGTTCATCTTGCTGAGGTTTTTCCATCTCCCGATCTTTCTGGCTCTCGAATATATCGATCTTATTGCCCGATCAGGCTTCGAAGGCCTCTAAACATATTGTGACTGTCGACTGCCTTTGCGACATAGCATACTTGCGTGGCGCAAACACATAGTCTCTGAGGATAGGGCCGGGGCCACCTCGATTCCCCGAGTCCGATAGGAAGAAGTCCTGCGAAGTTCGAACCTGCCTTTCAGGTTGGCAATCATGATGTCTACAGACGGTCCGGCTGGACTTGCAACATATCACTGGTTTGCGAATGTACTCATTTGCTGGAATAACGACATCTCATTCTTGTCCTCTCCGATCAATAGCGAGGGTCAATATTGGATCTAAAAACCCGTTTGATGTCCTGTCATGGTCTAGCTGGGCCTTTCAGACTTACATTGTTGGGTTGTTGAAATACGCACATCTTGACGTCGAGAAACAGAACTTCAACACTCGAGATGTCTGGTCCTTTGAAACTGGTACTGCCAATTTCGAAGCTTTGACGTTAGATCGCTGAAGGATACTGTGTTGAAAACCAAGATCGATCTCAAGGTTCCTAGGCCTAGGATAATTGGCAGGATGGTCGTGCCTTCTCTCATATATCCACGGAGTTGTGGGGTTTACGAGCACGAGCACAAGCAAGAGCTGTTTATCGATACCGACCTTGTGACCTTGTGAGGGCTGCTACTCTGCCTATCGGCTTACCGACTTGCCTGTCTCGCTTATTCTCGTTCACCATTCCCCGCCAGCTGTCACTCCTCATATTTTCTATCTACGGTTCATACGCTTCGTTTACCAAGAGAAGCCCCCCTGCAGCGTTGTATTTTCGGCGTATTATCTACTGCCTTGCGTCCTCTTTCGAGGGTTTTGTCTTCTAAACACTTTGTCAAACCCACCAACAAACGCGTCTCACGCATCCTTTGACATTTCATCCTTTCTGATTCCCCAATCATGTCTTCTCCCAACCTGGATGTCGGATCAATCAATGCGCTCTGGGCACAGAGCCGGGAAGATCCTTCGAGCGACGAAGAACTTAGTGATCATGATGGGATCTGGAGTGATTCTGATGGGATCTCGAGTGATTCTAATTCGAGTGATTCTGATCGGACCTTGACTGATCCTGATATGGCCTCAAGTGATTCTGATGGGACCTCGAGTGATTCTGACATGGCCTCGAGTGATTCCAATATGTCCTTGAGTGATTATGATGGGACCTCGAGTGATATTGATGGGGCCTTGACTGACCCTGATGTGACCATGAGTGTTTCTGATGGGACCATGGATGATCTCGATGTTACCATGAGTGATTGTACGGTTTACTCCCCCGTCAATGCTCCTTGTGCAGCTTTAGACTCGGGCTTGGATTTCCGCGACGATATTTCCATGCATTCTGTTGAAGACGTCTTCGGTGCCAAGCTGCTGCGTGGTCCTTCTGAGGAAGGGCTGTCTAGCATTCGGCTTCTCTCGATTTCCAGCCGCATCTTGACCTCGTTCAGTTCCCGAATCGACAATGCCGCAACTAGCCCCGAAATAATTACCGAGAGCCAGGAAGATCATGAGATGGACGAAGACAACTTTGGGAAATCCTTTACTAACGACGATGTTGAGATGATGTTTGTCTCCGGAGAAACAGCAGAGCCGGCTCAGGAGACTACCACTTTAATTGAAGAGATCACGCGTCAACAGGTGATCGAAATCGTGAGTATCGGGAATTTCAAACTAGAAAGCTTGTCACTAATGACCAAGTAAGCTTACCCGCAGCACTGCATTGGCAACCCGCCGCGGAGTTCGCTCGATCTCTACCGACGACCTGATTTTCCTGATCCGCCACGATAGGGCTAAAGTCTCCCGTCTGCGAACCTTCCTGTCCTGGAAGGACGTCCGCAAAAATGTCAAGGACTCCGACGACAAGGGTGGTGGTGACGCCGCCGACTTCGCTGCCGCCGACGATGCGGCTGGTGTTGTTGCAGGCCCCCAAGACGTCGCCCCCAAGCCCAAGAATAAGCGCGCCAAGGTCGGACTTGCGTGGGATGTCAACAGTTTCTACTCGGTTCAGGTTCCCGAACGTGAAGATGAAGAAGATGAAGAAGAGGAGGAGCAGAACTACGCGACACTCCAGCGTCTTGCCGCCGCCGATGAACGCACCCGCCACATGACAAGGGAAGAGTATGTATTCTGGTCCGAGTGCCGCCAGGCTTCCTTTACCTACCGCAAGAGTAAGCGATTCCGCGAATGGGCAGGATTCGGCATCGTGACCGAATCCAAGCCGAACGACGACATTGTGGACATCCTCGGATTTCTCACATTCGAGATCGTCCAGACCCTGACTGAGGAGGCGCTCAAAGTCAAGGAGCGCGAAGACAACGAGAAGCACCGTCGCGGGGGCGCCGAGGCCGGTGAGAACCTCAAGAAGCGGAAGCGCGAGACTGGCCTGTTCGACCCGCCCGAGGAGGGGCGCACTCCCATTGAGCCACGGCACGTTCGGGAGGCCTACCGCAAGCTACAGGCTACTCCCCAGAAGGCCGTGGCTATGCTGTTGCACAATGGTCGGGTTCCTCACCGCATTCCTCTTGCATTGGTGAGTCTATAAACCTTCTGTTTATGTTCTTATGCTGACAAAGCCATCAGATTTGAATCTTCGCTCACTTCGGCGTCAATTTTTGACGCCGCTTCATGAATTAGCGGATGGTAGCGGGAGTTTGCGAACGATACCCAATTTTCTCTTTCAATTGAGTTCACTTTTACTTTTTGTTTAATTCAAGTGCCTGAGTAGTTCACTTGTAGCTTTATTTGGCCGATCAGTTGCTCATAAATTGTAAATTAACTTCTTTATGGCCCGGGTCATCAAACTTCAGAAAGTCTCCAATCACGTCCTATGGAAGGCACCAAGGTTGGCCGAATCACCATGGCTCACGTTGATTCTGCCCCAGCCTCAGATATATGAAGACAAGAGAAGGGCATATCTTTCACTTCCCTTATGTCCGCCCTTCCCGCGGACCCTATTGTACACACTTTCCGAGGCTTCAAAGGCCTACGGCTCGAAGCTGAGCAGTTACTGAATTCTCTATAAGAGAAGGGAGATGGCAATGAGTTTATCGTCGTCCTCATTCTATCGGCACGAGCAATTAAAAATCTCAACGAAGAGCATCCGACTAGTCTAGGGTGTATTGAATATCGTTTTCGATAGGAGGGGACGAAAGGGCTGATCAAAGTGGTCCTATCAGAACGCCATGACGCAGTCACAAACCAATTCGGTCGAGCAACCGACAGGAAGCTTATTGCAATGGGACTCAGGTGGTTAGAGATAGTCTAGACTGGAACAGCTACCTATAAGTCTACCGCCGGTATAGGTAAACAGGGAGGCCATGCGTTCTTACCACCAGATCGCTGCCCCAATGGGCGTTTCTAAATCCCTCCCTCGGCTTCGCGAAGACGCTAAGAGATGGCTTATCATTCCCCGGGGTCTAGTGCGCATTGTTATTATTATCTCGATGGGGTTGACTGAAGTCACCTTTGAAAAATGTCAACTAGCCCCCCTTACACTTGCTATCCGGGCGATTCCCACCCAGCAGCCATACTCGGTGCAGGAGGTCTACGTTCAGTCCAACAACGTTGTCGGGGCCCCGTCAAGTCTTCCATTCGTTGCTATTTACGATCGACCCCCAGGACCAGGGGAACACGATATCGTTCTCAACGCCAATGATTCTCTTGAAATCACTAGGATGTTATTCTGATTTGTCATAGTTTGCTCTTTACGGAGGTTTTTGGGTCCATCGCGCCCACCGGGTTTTTCGCCGGGAGGTTAATCAGCTGCCATGAATCAATATTTATACAAATATGTATGCAGTCTCTTAAAGGTCTAGAAATAGCTTGTATCAAAGGTTCCCTACTAATAATATTCGGAGGTAGTTAGTGGTCATGTTCTAACATATCCTAGAAAAGACCAAAAAGACCTTTTGAAAGAGGATAACTGTTGGATTATCTAGGGATTAAAAAAGCCGTTGGTATTGGTGTCATTCCAGTGTTAGGTAGAACCCGGCACATTACTCAATGCTAAGTTCTCCATATCCTGGCGCTCGATATACTCGAGCTCAGTCACACTCGCAGTTCTGTCAACGTTTCTATCTGGGGAAGAAAGAAACATTTCTTTCAACTCAGTCTTTGAGCAATGGCCATCTGTATAAAATACATTGTCAGGTATGTCCATCCCATATTCACCCCATTCCTGCTCTCCAGTCTCAAGATCCTCGCAATAGATAGCAAAATGGGCTAAACAGTCCAAATGAACACGGACCAATCCACGGTAGTACTCTCCATAGTCATTTTCCGGGTCTTCGGGGCGGAAGAAAGAGTCGATAAAGTTAACATAACCGACCATCCCCCCCGGTTTATCGTTAATCTTTGGCCATGGTAGCCCCTGTTCGATAACAGATGGCTTTCTAGGCGCCGCACTGGCCAAGATTGATCGTATACAGCGATCATCTAACAAAAGTGCGTAACCAAGGCGAGGAATGCCACTAGATATGCGGAGGCCATGGCTTTCGACCCATTCTTTATGTCGACGTTGGATAACCGCTTCCGACGCGCCCTCTAACGCGGGGTCTTCAAAGATAACATTCCGATAACCCTCGCGGACCATTTCAACGCATTTGAGGTCGAATCGGTGCCAGCTGCGCTCGTAAAACTCCAGGTCAGCCATACAGGCCTCGTCGAGCTTTTCAATAGCTCTAGTCCAGTCTTGATCGGAAGTGTTGAGATAGGAGGTACGATAGATGGCCCATCCCCATGGCCAACCCCCACTCCTACCAGACTCGTAGTATAAGAAGTGCGGTACAGACTCCCACTCGGGATTTGCATGCTGTCGATTGATTCGTTCGACAAAAGTTTCTTCGGGTGGGAATTCAGATGAACGCCATGGTGTAGGCCATGACTCATCGTGAAAGATACTGGGTTGACGTGGATTCCAGGGCATGGTTCCGGCAATGGTTCTTGCAATGGTGTTGTAAGTGGGTGCATTTAGTTGGCCAGGAACTTCCACGGCTTGAATATTTTGAATATCGCTTAGCGCCTGAGTAGAACCCGATTAGGAAGGCGGTACTGGAATAGCGGTGTCCTCCATGATGTATTGTCAATAAAATATTAAAAAACGAAATAGCACGACGGCTGCATGATTCGAACATGCGCCCGCGAACGGAATTGATTTCTAGTCAATCGCCTTAGACCACTCGGCCAAACCGCCATTATTGATATAGTGAGCGGCCACCTTAGCCACTACAAAGCACACTGATTACGTGCATGTTTTACACGCACGAAGAAACAGAGTACTCCGTATGGACATACTAATTAGGTCTCTCGTTTAAAAGCTCCAATTATTTCCTAGCTACGGAGTAGTAGATAATTACGTATCTATTAAATTACATCCACTTTTCGTACTATAAAACACTATTGGCACACAATAGACAAAAAAAAACCAATTCACGAACTACTTCGACCTCGAGAAGCTCAACGTGATAATAGCTCGGACCATTAAGGATAATATGCGTACTAGATCCCTAATAGATGGAATAGATTTTAGGTCAATAGAGGTACAGTTCTTTGTAGAAATATTCCAATTAACGATACACAGAAAATCGAAGAAGTATCTAGAGAAGATGGGTAGTGAGCCCAATAGCAAAATAGAGCATATCAGAATAGCATCTTAGTGATTTCAAGAAAACCACTGGCGTTGAGAGGGATATCATGTTCCCCTGGTCTTGGCGGTCGGTCGTAAATAGCAACGAATAGAAGACTTAACGGTGCCCCGACAATATGGTTGGGCTGGACGTAGACCTCCTGCACCGAGTATGGCTGCTGGGTGGGAATCGCATGGATGGCAAGTGGAGGGATTCTGAGGAGCTGCGCGCAGAGTGGATTAGAGGGTTCGAGCTCTATTTATACCTTCAGTTGTCCATCCGTGTTCACCAATCCTTGGCCCCCTTCGGCAAGCAAAACTAAGAGACATGTAAGAAATGGCGTTGATGTGTGTCAAAGGGTATTTTTCCGTCCACTTATACGCCTTTTTGATGGCATGGATGAATTAGGTGCGATCTTCTTCATAAGCTGTAACACATGGGTGTAAATAATGCCACAAACCGTCGAATGGGATAATCATTTTGATCGGAGAGTTTTACTAGAGACTAGGAGAGGTTGGCAAGTGAATGAGGAATGCCCTAGACTTCTTAATTCACGATAAAATTGTTAGATGGGATAGTCCGATATGTGAAAGAAAGTAAACGCTGGTGGCACATATGTCTAAACCCAATAGCATTTGACGCTCAGGCTGACGATACCGACCAGCTTGGACGAGCAGGCAAAATCACTTCCATGATGGTTGATACTCTGCTTTGAAATCATTCATATAGATCTGCCCCATCTTCTCCCTCAACTGTTTCAGCACCTGGTTAACCACCTCAGCTTTCTCCTTGTCCGAATCATTAGCCCACCGAGTAGCTAACTCTTCGATTCCTTTCTCAACAAATTTCCTTCCAAAGCTCACCATCAAGTCCTTCTGGATTTTGAAAAAGCGATCCCAGCACTCCCCAAGGTCAACTGCCTTTCCAGAAAGTTTGAAGTATTCTGTTGCAGCCAAATCTAACTCGCCACGAATCTTCTTGTAGACAATATTGAATCGTTTCTGAAAATTTTCTGAATTTTGATAATTATAGACGGAAAAGACCTGCAGCGAGCCGGTAACAGGTCAGCAGGGAAAAATAAGCCGGGGAATCAAAGATATACAGGCCAGCTTACGCTTCGTAGCAAGGTTAAAGCTTTAGAGCTGTCATCAGAGTCGACAAGTGGCAGCCATGTGGCATCATCAAATGCGGTGTTTTGTGGGCGATCAAAACTCCAGAGCTAGGCGAAAGAAGTCAGCACTATTCTTCGGTTGAAAATACCAGAGACCTACGTCGCCTTTTACTGCGTTCAAAGCTGAGTCCATCAACCGGAACACATCGAAGTTGGTTTTGCTTCCAAGTTGCTCCATTACTCGCGCAATAGGCTTTTGGAGGATAAGATTGTTTCCTGGTGTTTTTTCTGCAGTCTTGGGGATGATATCTTCGCCGAAGTAATCGATGAAGAAGTCGCAATCAACAGGACAGTTCCCCGCCCCAATAGCCCATAGCATAAACTTGGGAATCAACTTGATCTCGAGGAGATGATCCGCTAGATCATTATTAGCTAGTGATTTACCAAGGTTTCGTTCGCCAGGAACACTCACTGTTGAACCTAGATTTTTTTCCTTTTGGAGGGTCGAGCTCCGCAGTCGTCGCTTGTCGTTCTTGTATAGCAGTGTCCCCGCAATCCTTGTCATCATTGTAGTCGACGGCTTCATTGACCGTTACCTGTTTTTTTGGATCTGGCTTTTTGGCCTTGAGTTGTAACCAATCCTTTGGGCCAGGATAAGCAAATCGGGTGAACGCCAAAACTCTTTCCACGCCGGCTTTACCAATACATATGAAGTCCATCGGCTTGGAGCTGGCACGCTTCTGTAGGACAGGTCCATTGTCCTATTCAAAATTAGTTGGATCTATGCATTAAGGAGATTTGACAAACCTTTTGCCATTGGAGGTCGCGTCGGGTAAACATATCGTCGTCGTCGTCGTCGTCGTCGGTCTGGTCACAGAATCCATCTTCATAGTCGCACAGGCTCTTCGAGCATGTTATCCCCGAATCCTTGTTTCCAAATCGTTTATCATACCAATCGGGAACATCTAGGATATTTTTGGCGGTGGTTTGATAACCGTTTGCGAGGAGCTCTGGAAATGAGGTATTCGAGAAAACGAACGGAAGCATAATGCGGGTGTTCAAATTCTTGAGCTGGTTACTTACGACATCGTTCCAGATATTGACCAAGCGCTGCCAGTGGGTGGTTTGCTTGGACTCGTAACCCATGAGGATTTCAACCAGGTGGGCAACAAGTATATGTGACGCAAAGATCTCGCAATCGTCCTCACGAATACTTAGAGACTTGGCTGGTGTTGCGGAGTAGTAATAATTCGTACATTCCACAGCTATTGTCCAGTCAATGAGTGCATCTTTGAATTTTTGCAGGTCATCAGACATGCGCTCAGTCTCCGTGTAACTGACTGCATCACAGCAGTATGCTCGGGCACCGGATTTGTAGCAGCCTTCGTTAAAGCCGTCCATCGCCACGCGCACTTGATTGGAGTCACATCCGGAGAAGCAACTTTGGCCGACCCAATGCAAACCCACGTCATTTCGCCATTCGCAGTTCTCAAAGCGGTTGCTCTTAGATGATGTGTTGCAGCAGTATTTCCGTAAGGTATGCTGAATTTTTGGCCAATGATCGCCCCAGACGTCCCCGGCATAACAGTAGACATCACCGCTCCCTTGACCGGACTGTCCAAGGATTGTGCTTTTTGACCCAGAGCACTTGCCATCGTCACACTGGGGATTCTCCTTCGACCATTCACAGGTATTGTAGACTGCCATGCTGCTCAACCCATTTCCATAATCGTCTTCCACTGAGCAACATGCCGACTGGTATTGATCTTCCTTTTTGCATCCGTTTGTTGTCGAGCCAATCTCAACCATTCCATCCTCACAGCCAGGCTTGCAATTGCCTCTATTGAAGTTATACCAGCCACACTTTGGGAGTTCGGCGTCAGGAGGACAACACCAGGAGCGCGAGCCATGTCCCTCGCAGTGGGTATCATCTATCATGTATTCAGGATTCGTTGTCTTCCAATCGTCTTCGCGTTTGATCATTTGCCATCCTGCGGGACAGCTATCTCCACAGTTGGTCCAGTGGCATTGCTTATGGTTGGTCCTTTCTGTGATGATATCGGTGTCAATTTCGGCTCGTTGCATCAACACTTGGCGGTTTGACACCATTGCTAGATCACGTGAAAAGTCTGCCGTTGAAGTGTCATGGCTGATCGCCCAGACCATCAACCCGCTGAGACATTGCTGACGAGCAAAATTGGCCTTCATGGCTAGAGTCTCTCGATCATCCATAGAGACCCATTGATCATCCCAAGTGACAACCTTGACCGTGGCCTCTTTGTACAGCTTTGGCACCAGCTTTCTGTCATGGATGATATCCATAATTTCATTGTTGAGAAGGATGCCTGCCTCATTGCTGCATGGCCCTGGAAGACCTCCGGAGGCATACACACATCCAGGCTCTACACAGCCTTGGGTTGTGTATGAACGGCCATAGAATGCGAGACCCATGACGACCTGGTCTCCTTTCACATCATTGCGCCAAAGCAGCTCCAAAGCAGATTTGATTTCTGTCAAGTTTGTATGAGCGTTGAGGAACGCACCCGTCCATTTATTCCCTTGATCCCAGGTGCCGTGCAGATCGTATGACATGATGTTGAAAAATGAAACATGCTTAGCAAGCTCTTTGAGGTCGAAGTGCTGGAGATACCAGTAGGATGCCGGTAGCGTGATGGAGAGTTCGCTTCGTCCAGGGGTCTTTTTCAGTTCGTTTTTCAGCCTAGCCATGAACTTTGGGAAATTCTTAAAGTCTTCTGGCTTTCCGTTACGGTCGTCGGCTTCGGGGTATTCCCAGTCCAGATCTATACCATCAAAATCATGTGTAGACATGAAAGAGATCAATGAAGCAATGAATTTGTCTTGCTTTGCTTCTGAGGCTGCTATATCAGAGAAAACTGTTGCAGTTCGGCCAGGGTCGTTGAATGTCCAGCCACCTATGGCGATCATGACCTTAAGGTCCTTGTCGTAACTTTTCAGAGATGTCAACCGGCTATATAAATCAACATCCCGATGGTCTGACGGCGTCACTTTGTAAGTATCCGGATCAATAGTGGCGAAAGCGAAGTTGACGTGACTATAGACGCCGAGAGGAATTTGTTCTGGCCAGAAGGCATGGCAGGGACGCCGGCTAGACCATCCTTCGTAGTAGCCAACGACTCTGTCCATATAGCGATCTTTAGAGCAGGTTTCGTGTTTGACGGTTTTGTTGCCACACTAAGAGATGTTAGCCAGTACATCAAATATCGAGATATGCGGGTTATTCCTTACAAATTCTTTTGTTGTTCCGCAGTAGCCCTGGAGATATTCGAGTCAGCAGTCATTCACAACATCCAGAGGTCAGTTGGGCCGCGTACGAAATCTGAGCAACACACGTTCAGAGGACACGATTTGCTCTCTGACCATTCTCCTCCAAAGCCGGGATCACATTCCGATTTGCGTTCGCATCCAGCAACGCAGACATTCTTGCCACAAAAGTCGGGGCCATGTCCGCAGAACCCGAATTTATTACTGATTATCGATTAAACATTGATCATTCCAATCAAACCGGGAGTCAGGAATTATTACCAGCAACCTTCCTCGCAGGGGTTGTTTGCATCACACCCAAGTTTATAATCACAATTCGCCAGACATCCGTCACCACAGTGTTCTGGAGTTGTTCCGCAAAAGCCAGACTTCGAACTAACGGGAACAACCAACAGTTAGAATATGCGTGGTTGTTTCTTTTTCCATTTCCCAAAAGGCTACACTTACCAGCATCCTGTAGCACAAGGCTTGCTTGCACTGCAATCCTGTCCAAGGACTAGCAGTGCGAAGACACATAATAGTATGCTTAACCTCAGCATATGTTTTCCCAACATCTTGGCTAATTGGCTTGAGCTCCTGAAAAATATAGTGGGAATGATTTAGCATCTTATACACTTATCAGAAGCCAATTGCTGGGTATAACTTTGAACTACTGCATGGTGAGGTGAGACACCGGGAAATTGCACCTAGTCCGATTCGAGGAGTATCCGAATCCTACGATTGCAATATGTGCTAAAAGTGGAAATTCGCTTGAAAGTACGGAGTAGATTCTGCTAGTAGAGTCGTTGTTACATCGCCGCTTTTGAAAACCCCACTTGTGGTGCCTATAAAATTCGAAGGGACCGAATACGAAGTCCAAATATCCAATAAGGGTCTAAAATGGGAGTGAGCCAAACAACGAGGCTTAACTAGTGATTGTCCGGGTGGCTTGGCGGTTGATACCATAGCACTGCATCCACAAATTTTCAAGCCTCTTTTCTGTATCTAGGCACCTGCCCAGGAGAAGACGGCTTGGTTTCCGGTTGAACCGCAGGATTCGGGCCATCCCGGCGGAAAATCGACCCAGAACCAAGAAATCTGAAGCTCAAGCACTTGGCCGTACTATGGGCAGCCGAGATGGGGAATGCGATTTCTGCCATGCAGAATGGTAGAATCGCTGCTAATGGAACAATACAATACTGCTATAATTTATTCGGCCTCCTTGATATTACCATAAATAAGCATACCGTTGACTGATGAATACAAATATTGTCAATGAAGCTATTTAGAGATCGCATAATTAATTCAATCATCCTTGTCAACAGAGCTATGCAGAGATTACCTTATTAATACATCTGTTCTGTCAAAATATGAAGCTGTTCAGAGATCGATCACCTAATCCGTTTTTTTTTTTCGAAATATGAAATGAATTCCATAAGAAAGAGTATTTAATTCTGAGTATTACACTACTTTATGAAGTATTAATTGGAGCGATATTCATGGAGTAGTAATAGGCAGTTGAGAATAGTAGGTTCATAGAAGAATAAAGTCGGGAAAAGAGTAGTAAATCAGGTGATTCTCAATAGATCAGATGATCTCTGAATAGCTTTATGGTAATAGATCAGGTGATTAGATCAATGAAGCTACCATGTGGCTGAAATTATTCGAAGGCTGTGCTTTTTACAGTAGCGATACCATAATAAATGGCACTCGTGTTGAAAATAGGAAAGCCATGAGCTCTTTTAATTAGGTTAGACCGCTGTCCTAAGTCGAGAATATGCGGAATGAACTCCGTATTAATTTGTATAATACGAAGGCGGAAACTAAAGCGGTGGAAATAATATATATACAGCATTCCCCAGTTTGGCCCATTTCACTTGGCATCGTTTAATATCCCCTCGATTTTGAGGGATTTTATCACACTATCAGAAACGATGTAACCGCCAAGCAATTGGCCGGAGATTAACTCGGGTTTCCAACGAAACCATTCGACATACGTTGTAAGTCCTTCGGGATGCAATTTCCAATAAAGCCCGCCTCTTTATCTCTAGGAGTTCCTCTGCCTGGAACTCTCCAAATCCAGTGACAATTTCAAGCCTTTTTATTTGCAAGATGGCGGGGGTGATTTTTGTTCTACGATGGCTACTGCTTATCTGTCAGATCACTGGTATATGGGCAATTCATGCCCACCATTCTCATGAACACCTACACCAGCACTTCAATCGTCAGAATGTCGCCTCTGTCTCGGTCACTGTATCAAGTTCTTCTGCTGCTGCGTCGAGTTCCTCTCAATTTGGGAACTCTGATGCCGCCACCAAGGTTTCCGAGGCTCTGAGAGCATTGGCCGTTGTCAACAAGTTAAGAGTTGACAATGTAAAATTCAACAGATATTCCATGGCCAACGCAAAGGATGTGACTGGAGAAAGAATAAACGCACCACCCTTGGATTATTCAAGGGGAGCTGTCACTAGGCTCTCCGCCCTTCAAAATGCGTCTGAGTCTGAATTGTCCAAGGAAAAACGCCAAGAAAGCACCAACACCAATGATAGCTTTGCCTACACAATTCCTAAGGATCTCGCCGATGCAGCAAGAGCCTTAGCAGAGTCTGTTCGACCCACCGCTTCCACCGGCGAGGAGGAGGCTCTGGCTGCCAAGGTGCATGCTAAGTACAGGTCCAAGACAAACGATACCAACCGACCTCCCCAGCGGCTTCAACATCCAAATGGGCTTTTTGGTTATGTTGCGGACGAACAGACTGTGCTTCAATCGTCTGACTTGCAATCCGAAAATTCTACTCTTGTAAAGAGAGCTGCGAGTGGTTCTGATTATTGGTTGGCCAATCTGCAGCAAAATGCTGCCAGTCCATTCGCTCCATCTGGATATAAAGTAACCCACCTTTATCTGACTTCTACCTGTATCTAGCTAATGTTACTATTACCAGGTCTGGAGAAATGTGAAGGACTATGGTGCCAAGGGTGATGGTGTAACCGACGACACTGGTAAGATAGAAGCCGTCAATTACTCTCAGCATATAACTAACTGTTCGACTCTCTAAAGCCGCAATCAATAAAGCTATCTCCAGTGGAAATCGATGTGGAGCAAACTGTGGTTCAAGCACAATATTCCCGGCTATTTTATTCTTTCCTCCTGGAACATACCTCGTCAGCAGTCCGATCATCCAGTATTACAACACGCAATTCCTGGGAGATGTATGGTAGAACCTTTCGTTCTCTTATTATGAGCCATCCACTGATTCCAAACCATTTAGCCGACTAATTATCCAACAATTTTGGCTGCTGCGAGCTTTGTTGGCTTGGGCGTCATTACCTCTGACGTTTATGTCGGCGACCAAGAGCAATGGTAAGTACCAAGCCCCAACTGTGCGAATTTGTCTAACACCATATCAAGGTACTTGAACACAAACAACTTCCTTCGCAATGTCCGCAATTTCAAAATGGATATTACCCGTACAGACCCCGGTGCGTATGTATGTGCCATTCACTGGCAAGTTGCCCAAGGAACAACTCTTGAAAATATCGAGTTTTACATGTCGCAAGCGACCGGAAACACACAGCAGGTATGTAAGCTTCCATAATTCAAGTATTCCATTTACTGACTGTCAAGGGCATCTACATGGAAAACGGAAGTGGCGGTTTCATGAGCAATTTAACCTTCGTGGGTGGAAACTTCGGGTACGAGTTCACAAATTGCCAATGAGAAAAAGCTGATGTATTTATGCATGGATTATAGTGCCTATCTGGGTAACCAACAGTTTACAACCAGTCAACTTGTTTTCGTGAATTGCAAGACCGCAGTTCAGGTCCATTGGGACTGGGCGTGGACAATGCAAGATGTTGTCATAGAGTCATGTGGGAGCGGAATTGTTGTGACTGGTGGTGTGAGTGTTCCCGTTCAACAGATCTAAGACGAGTCATTGCTAATCTATATCAGGCAGGAGGTTTGGAAAGCACTGGTCAGGCAGTCGGTTCATACATCTTGGTGGACGCCATTATCGCCAACACACCTACCGGTATTCGCACATCGCTATACGCAGACAACTCAACGGCAGTTTTACTTCAAAACGTTGGGTTCTTTAACGTCAAAGATGCAATTGTTGCCGACACCCGCACCGAGCCTCTCCTAGCTGGAGGAAACGAAGTTCTTGTTCCTTCGTGGGGATTCGGTCTCTACCATGACGATACAGGACTTCATTTTGCCCAGCAAGAGCAATTGCAGGTTTTGAACCGCAAATCAATTCTGACTAGCGATAAATCTTATGTTAAAGGAACCGCTAACTTTTTCGCCCGCCGCCGTCCTCAATATCTTGATTTGGGAGGTGGCCAGGTTTTCGATGTCAAGGCCTATGGTGCGAAAGGCGACGGTGTCACGGATGACACAGCGGCCCTTAACAGTGTACTCTCTGCCGCTGCAAATATGTCTTCAATTGTTCACTTTCCTTACGGAGTTTATGTCATTAAAGATACTCTCCATGTTCCTCTTGGCTCCCGCATTATCGGGCAAGTTTGGCCGCAGATTATGGCGACTGGCAGCAAATTTGAAGACGCCGAGAATCCCCACGTCGCTGTGCAAGTGGGCAAAGAAGGGGATACCGGTATTCTCGAAATTCAAAACATGATGTTCACGGTATCTGGGCCCACGGCTGGTGCCGTACTCATGGAGTGGAATGTTCATGAGTCGACACAGGGCTCTGCAGGTCTCTGGGGTGAGTCTTTTCCTTACTGAGAATACCAACTGCGCGGACCATTTATGTTTTTGCATGAGATAACTAACAAAAACAGATTGTCACTTCCGCGTGGGCGGTGCGATCGGTTCTAAGCTCCAATCCGATAAATGCTCCAAAAAGGCATCATCCCTGAACAAGGATTGTATCGCTGCATCACTTCTGCTCCATGTCACAAAATCTGCTTCGGCTTATATAGAGAACCTCTGGGCCTGGGTTGCGGACCATGACCTTGATAAGGTTACCCAAGATCAAGTCGACATTTATGTGGCTCGCGGTATTCTGGTTGAGAGCCAGGGACCTACTTGGATGTACGGAACAGCCTCAGAACACAGCGTCTTCTACCAGTACCAGTTTTCTGGTGCCAAGAATCTGGTTATGGGAATGATACAGACCGAGTCTCCCTACTTCCAACCCACTCCGCCAATGCCAAAGCCTTTCGAACTGGGGAAATTCCCCAACGACCCGGACAGCAATGAGTGTAAGACATGTACAAGCTCATGGGCGGTACGGATGATTAACTCGGAATCAATCTATATGCTTGGTGCAGGTATGTTTTCTTTTTTTCGGTCTTAACTTAGGCTTTTGCTGACTTTCCTAGGCATCTATAGTTGGTTCAACTCATATTCCCAAGATTGTTTGGAAACAAACAACTGCCAAGAAAAGGCTTTCTACGTCGAGCAGAGTAGCGATATCTGGATCGTCAATCTTGTGACCAAGGCAATTGTCCAGTCTATCAGCCCACTCGGTGAGACTGCGATATTTGCGAAAGACGCGAGAAATGGATACCTATCATCCTTGCTTGGGTGGTTCCGCAAAGCAAAAGACATCGTTGGCCAGCGCAAGTTCACGGGGTTCTACTTTTACGATAAAACATATCAGCAAGAGTTTTTGTCACAATTGTCCCCCATTTGCCAAACAGCCATCACTAGGCTAATTGACTGCGACGATGAGGTTTATATGTTCCAAAAGCCTAGATGGAGACAAGGGTTTGACAACGACACTCTAAGCGATCTGGTTTGCAGTTCCAGTTGCGGGCAGTCTATAGAGACTTGGTTTCACCAAGTTACTACCAATTGTGGTAGCAATGAAGAGACTGGGGCTCCCTTCAACATGAAAGGTGGGGCGACTTGGGCAGGGTGGAATGAGACCTGTGCTAAGGACGCCACGAGTGGTAAATACTGTGGAGGTAAGCGTGCATCCCCCGCCCCCGTTTACTTGCGCTTGCACTTGATCGATCCTAACCATGAATACACATAGACGTAATCAATGGCTTCAACCCAGACCTGGATAGTATGCCAACTGCTGAACTTTGCTCATCATGCCATGTCGGCCGTTACCGAATGATGCAATCAACACCCTACTCCGCATACGACATCAACTTCCAATCCCAACTCAAATACATCAATTCAAAATGCAACCTCAATATTCCTACTGATATTCCCGATCCCCTGCAACCAACAATTGATCCATACAAGCCTGCAGACTCGTGCGTATCTGGCATCAAATACACAACCGTGGCCGGCGATACCTGTGACTCGATTGCTACCAAGTACAAAGTCTCCTCAGCCGCCCTGTTCATAGGACACGACAACTTGTTCGAATGCAAGGATATCCAAGTCGGCACAAAGCTGTGCATGCCAATCCAATGCGAGACCGTCTACACCATCAAAGGCGAGGACAGCTGTACATCCATCGAGAAGGCACAAGGCGTCGGATACAAGGATGGAACTACATTACGCAAATACAATCCATGGATCAACTACGATTGCTCTAATCTTCATATTGTCAGTGATGTCGCGTATGGTCATGTCATTTGCCTCACGCCGCAGTCTGGTGCTTCGAATGCCACTGCCCTGCCTTATGATCCAACGTCACCCGGTTCCGCTGATGGCTATGTCATTCCGCAAATCGAGCCCCCTAAAAACTCAACTGTTGCTGAAGGGACGACAACTCGTTGCGGCAAGTGGCATGTTGTCACAAATGAAGCGCTGCAAGAAACCTGCACTACGATATGCATACAGAGCAAGATTCCTTGGGGTTTATTCTTGGATGTGAACCCTTCTCTGGGTCCGGATAAATGCAGCGACCAGCTGGTTGCTGGGAATGCTTACTGTGTCGGGCCGACGTACAGCTGGGATGAGTTCTTTGATGATGCTGATACTGATTGAGTGAAAGGGTGAGCACTTGGGCAAGATGTTTAAGTCCAAAATCGGTAGTATTTTTTGTACAAATTCCCCTTGGATTGCCTCGGGGGTAGATAAACATTACAGATTTCCAGTCCAACATGTGGGAAATTGAGGGGTAGTAGGATATACCAGAGATAGTGAGATAATAAGAGTTCTTCGGTATTCATGATATTATAATAAGACTACGTACGGTTCGCTGACTGCATTCAACTGACTATTGATAGTACATTTATTATCTCTGGTTTATAGAGCCAAAGTTCGGATGTTACTATTAATAATTACGGCGGTTTGGCCGAGTGGTCTAAGGCGATTGACTAGAAATCAATTCTCTTCGGAGGCGCATGTTCGAATCATGCAGCCGTCGTGCTATATCTTTTTTTTGGACAATTTTTATGGATATAATTAACAGGATTTGCTTAATCCTAGATCTACCATTTTCTATCTCAGCTAGATGTCACTCAGCCCAGGGATCACGCCTGCGGACTGACCCGACATTGTACCTACTAGGTACTACTTTGTACGGGTATGCAATTGCGGCAGAACTCTTACATTGGTTAATATTGCCAGCCAGTATTTTCAGGCTTCAAGAAGGCGGTGAATAAATGGAACCACTGGACAAAGACGAACAGAGATCTTCTCCAAGCGCCCGGACAAGCCGAACAGTTGATGAAAAGGCGTTCGCGTCGATCGAGGGTAGTGTAAGCCCAATGACACTGTGCAACGAAGCATGTGCAAGCACAGAGGCCAAGTCGCGAGGTCTAAATATTGGAATAATCATGACGTTCTGCAATGCAGACCATTCAGCGATTAAACTGAATAGAACAGATACTACACTTGATCTAAGCCAGAGGCAAAGAGAGCTGAAGAAGAAAGAAAAGAAGAAGTTCTGGGGGCAGGGTCATCTTCTTATAGTTATCCTAAGGGAGGTAGGCTTCTGCCACTATTCACAAATGAGACAAACAACGACATAGGCTCGCTTAATTAAATCTGTAAATGGTAACGTGATGATGAGAACAGGAACGACGTCTCTTATTTCCGGCCGACTTGTTTCACAACCGTCATTCTTCGGTGTGATGCCATAATGTTTGTTTGTTCTGATATCAGCAAGAGGGCTACGGCACAATCTCCGCTAGACCACGGAGTACTTGAGGTATGTCTGCCGTTGAGCATACCCAATGAGAGACTTATGCCCTGGTGGAATATTTAGTCTCTTATTTGCATGTCAGCTGGCCTTTCCCCCCTGGCTGAATGATATTACCACGGCTAGTAATAGAATAATATAACATCCTACCTGAGCTTGGAAGCTTCCCCTCTTTATCTTGCCTTCAAGGGACCTGTTGAATATCAGATTCATCCTATGTGCCCAGAACGGGAGTCCCATATTTCCACTGTTCAGTTTTCATTGAAGCATTAAACCAGAAACAGCAGCGCCAACAGCATAGACGCCGCAGCACCGTTTATAGCTGCAAAGTGGATAGTTATTCTGCTTGTATTAGATGGTCACTCGCTTAGCCGTACACATGGGTGCTCCGGTGCGGTGATGCTGCCGAATAGGTTTGGTCACGTTTGGTTGACACTAAAGCTTACAGTCTGTGACGGTGATGATGTTCTGGCCGTGTCCCGGTACGGACCAATGTGGCTGGCTGGGCTGAAAACAAAATTGGAACTCGTACCCGAGCATCGGAAGGGCTCTTGCGTACCTCCGGGCTACGAGGTCAGCAAGAGCGCCGAGTAACTTATAAAAGTCGGCTTTTTACCCACGTCTTCAGATTAGATCTCAGTCGATATAGACTGGTTACAGTGAACAATACGAAGCAGAAAGACCGTTTAGGGGAGGGGCATATGCATTCAAATATATTCATTTTTATTTCCATTCAAAACGTTATATACCTTCCTAACCAAAAAGGCGTACTCCTTTTTCATAGTAATATACACTTATTCCTGATGCGTCACGCGCCCTACAGAGACCAGTTAGCATGTCCGTGGCACATATTCAAAGATGAAAAAGGAGAGAAAGGAAACATACACTCGGCCAATTCCTCCAAACTCATCTCTCGAATGCCGTTGACATTAGGAACGGTACCCTCCACGGCACCCTTAATATTTTCATAGGCACGCCCAAGCAGGCCCCTGTGGGGAACAACATGCGTGACTAACTTAGCCTCGAGCTTAATGACGCCAATCCGGGGATCTGAGGGTCCGCCATCGTGCACACCATCGCCCATATCGCCAATCCATGCTCTGAGTCCGGGCGAGTAGTGCTTCTTCACGATTTCGGGATCACCGATCACTGATGCAGTACCGGAGATGGAGGCCCAGGCTCCGCTGATAGGGTCGAGGAAGGACATATTTGTCTCTTTTGGGTGTACAGTAAGATCCATTGTCTTGCCGGAGAAGAGGTTTGTGTGGAAAATGAGGTCAACGCCGCCGTGCTCCTATTTTGGGTAATGGATTAGCATGATTGCCCTTGAATTGTGGTTATCTGTGGCTCTGCTCATACCGTTGCGGCTAGTGCCATACATCGTGAAGCCAAATAGTCACCCTCTGACTGCTTGGTTGTCAACATGCCAAATTTAACATCGGAGATAAATTTAACCAGCTCTTCGATCTTCTGAGGGAGAGGCGGGTCTTCTAAGCTCTGGGTCTTGTAGGGGTCCACGGGGTGGTTACCCGTCGTGGTGTTGATGGTGGCACCTGTAGTAGACATATCGTTTTATGTTCGAATAATGAAAGGGTGGAGGAAAGTAGAGATTGTTGGTGATGAACATAGAGGCGAGAGAACTTATATACATGTAGGGATTATGCGTAGTCGTCAACATGACGTCACCGATAAGATCCGGATTAGGGCTAGGATTCCCCGCAAGATGAGGTAGTCAACGCATCACACCATCTAGGAAGCTTGCTTTCAGAGATTATGTCTCCACAGCTTTGTCTGTGAGAATATGTCTCCTGATGTGTCTCCTGATGATGCATTACCGTCAGGGTCTAACTCGATTCTCCGCATCGAATATTCTGCGAAGCTCCATTACATCATCATGCTTATTGAAGATGCTGAAGACGCTTTTGTGTAGCGATCTTTTGTGAGCGTGTTGCTAGATTGCTTGGCGATTTGTTTCTTATGGCGACCGATGGTTCGTCTATACACCAATTCGTGGCTGATCGTCAATTGACACCCGAACTCAGTTGAATCATCACTCAATGAGTAGTCGTATAATGTCCTCTCAATCTGCTATCGAGGTACCAATTTCTGATGAGTTCAATTAACGATGTCTTCAAACCACACGCAAGGAAGCATAAGACAATGTCTCACCTCTGGGCAAAATGCCACAATAAGTTCAGCAGAACAGCCATAATGCCAATCACAAAGGCTATGCAACACAATATCAGCTCATGTCTTTATCAGACAGGAATAAGATAGAACCAAAGAGGGAACAAACCTTCATGTCCCCAGCTCTCTACTGCCTTGACAACTCTCCTTTTTGCCTGTGCCCTAACTTTGAACCAAGCGGGCACCGAATGCGGCGGGCAAGTCTGGCCATTGACAAGCAGACAACCATTCCCAACCTGACGACACTCAAGATGCCACCGACGGCGTTCCATAATGCCGCGTACACGCCCATTGCAAAAAGACTCGTCAGTACTGAACGAGCACTTCTCCATGGGGCATTCGAGTCCACACTTAAATCGCTCGACGAGCCAGGCAACTTTCAGGCGTACACCTGTGAAGACTGAGGAGTAGAAGTGACGGTTGCTGTGTTTGAGGGCTAGGGCGTCCGGATAGGAAAGGTAGGTGCTTATTTGGATATGGAGTTCCGAGGGGAGAGTCATTAGGTTAGCGCTGGTGGGCTGAGAACAAGGGTGTTGGGATGTCTCCATGTTTTTGGATATTTTCCGAGTTCTTTGCGGCTCAATTGTGTACATTCGACGTGGTGATATTGTTCATCTTATACATGCGGGTCGAAAACTGCTGCCTGAAAGTGAATCCACCGACACTGATTACTAGTTGGAGCTATTTACCCCGATGCAATCATCAAATGGTACTTGATTATTCCAAAACAGCTGCCTATTTTCAGCCTCCAAGAGGCCATGGATGTATATATAGTCTCATATGATTGAATGGGTGATGATAAGATCCTCCTACTTACCTACATCCTACATATTATCGTATTTAATAAGCACAAGTTGTAGATAATAACTATTTCTTTATGCTAGGACATCTTAATATAATAAACAGCCTTGGAACACTTGGAACAAAGACAAGCTGTGTGTTGAGCCACTTAAGTACTTCTGTTCCAACCTCACCTGCCCAATTAGGATCGCTTATGTAATATTCCATATCGGCCTCAAACCGACCTTCAACTTTTAAAGATCCGCCACTCACCAACCTCCACTACATCTCCCCAAAACAAATACCCACATCAACCACAGAGATGTCAGGACCAAACTCCTACGGCACCCCGGTGTCGGACACGGCCTTTCGCAAAACCTGGGACCGCGAAGAATACGCCAAAAAAGCCGCCGACGATGAAGCAAAGCGCAAAGCCGAAGGCAAAGCCCGCTACGAAGCGAAGCTACTGGGCAAGAAATACCACGCACCAGTCGACTACAGCTCGCTCGAGGATACCACAGCCCGCAATCAGCGCCTGGACGTCGCGTCCATGGTGGGCAAGACGATGATTGTGCCCGCAGGCTCGGGGATGGGCAAACGCGGCCTCGGCGCTGGATTTTACTGCAAGGACTGTGATCTTACCTACAAGGATAACTTGCAGCTTGTGGAGCACTTGAACAGCAAGCAGCATCTGATTGCGACGGGGCAGAGTGGCGAGGTGAAGAGGGCGAATGTTGAGGACGTGCGCTTGCGATTGAGGATGCTTTCGCATCGGAAGCGTCAGAGGGACGAGGAAGAGCGCAAGGCTTGGCAGCTTGATCTGGGGGTGCGGCTCAAGGAGCGGGAGGAGATTGATGCCAAAGAGAGGGAGGAGAAGAGGCGCAAGCGCACTGAGAAGCGGAAGAAGGAGAAGGTTAAGAAGGAGGATGATAGCTGGGAGGGCCGGTTGGGGATCATTTGTTGAGTGTTGTTCTCGGGCGCGCATTCTATTCTTGATACCCATGGTGTTTTGGCATATTTCCCAGGCTTTGTTTTACTGATCATGTTCTTCATGTGCAATAATGGCACTTTCAAAATTCAAATTGCGAGCTAAAGATCTAACAAGGGTTCCCCAACACCCAGCATAACGCCTAACATGCAAATCATATCATCCAAAAACATAGCGTACCTGTTGATTAGTCGATGCACTCGATAGCTTCGAGCCGTCGCATTGCTCGGCCACCTTCCTTCTCGAATTGGCTGACAAGTCGCTCGCATTCTCGCTTCAGTCGTTCTTCGCCATTCTTTGCGTTCCACGCGATCCATTCTTGGACTGTCATTTTCTTCTCTGGGCTAGTCAAGCTGGCTTTCGCGCCTCTGAACAGTCCGGATAAATCTGCGTTTTCCTTCTCGCTAGCCTCTCCAAACAGCACTTCATCAATATCCACCGGTGTCCATGGATGGCCAGAAGGTCCGAATCCACCATTGGCGTTGCGCTTAGATGGCGATGGGGTACTAACTGCCAGGGGGACTCGGAACTCAGGTTGCTTGGGTGTTGGTTGGACTGGTGCACGGGATGCTGAGGGCCGCGATGGCGGCCGGTTTTCTGCATCTGATGACTGGGGTGACGGCGAGGGAGTGTTTTGGTGGGCTGGAGGAAGTGGTGAAACGGCCCGGTTAGAGCGGTTTGAATTCCGTCGAGGCTCATGCACTTCGTGAGGGGAGATCTGGCTTTGGACTAAGGTCTCCGCAAGATGCTCTTCGTGTGGGATATCGCTATACCGTTTGGCAGTCTTTGGCGGTAGACTGGGTGTCTTAATATGAGATTGTGGCTCGGGAGATATTTGTTGTGGAGGGGAAGGGTTGACTATCTCAAGCTGGTCAGGCAAATCGTCTGTAGTCTCGAATTCATCGTCTTGTTCCTCGACTGACGGTTCGGCGCGATGTTCTTCGACTGAGGGTTGAAGAACAGGAGCTTGCTCCGCCTTTTTCTCGGATTTCTTGGACTTCTTCTCTTTCGTTGATGTGCCATCCTTCTTCTTGGAAATCTTCTTCGATTCAGCCTTGGCGATTGGTTCTTCGGGCTCCGGTGCATTCTCCGGCTCCTTGCTAATAATCTCGACGGAGACGAAGGAGTCATGACGCTCGGAATCATCCCGAACATCGGGACCCCTGAGCCCTAAGGATTCTCGAGGCTCTGGCGACTGTGCTTTTATCGTCTCCTCGGTCTTGGTTTTCTTTGTCCCCTTCTTCTTAGATCCTTTTGCCAGCTTGGTCTTTGGGGCTGGCGCCTCCGGTTCATCATCAACCGGTTCCACGTGGGGATCTGAACGGTCCTCGCGATCACTGACATCTTCTACTTGATTATGCACGGTCGCTTCGGGAATTCTAGCCACAGCCTTGGACTTTTTGCTCGATTTTGTCTTCTTCGACGCCCGTGGCTCTGCTGGCTCAGCCTCGATCTCAGGCTCGGGTTCGGCAGGTGTGGGGATATCAGCTTCGAGGCCTGCTTCGATTTCCGCTTCGATCTCGGAGTCACGAGGAGCTCGCGCCTTTGACGGGGCTTTTGATGCAACAGGAACATCGGAGACCTTGCGGGTCTTGGACGCTCTCTTTCTCGTGGGCTTGCGACCTCTCGTGGTTTCTTCTTCCGAAGTAGCTTCATCCACCGGCCTTGCGTCTGCCATTGCAGAGTCACTGTGTTCATAATTGTAGCTGCGAGTAATGCTGCTGCTGCGTGTTTTTGTGTCGCGTCTCTTCGCTGGAGGTTCTGCTGGCGGCTGCGATGGCTCTTTTTCCTCCATGGCAACTGGGTTTGGTTCATCCTTGATATCCTCACTGGTCCTCTTCTTTCCTTTGCCTGCACGTTTAGGTTTGACAGGCTCTGTTTGGGCGACTTCTTCAATTTCGGCGTCAATTTGGCTTTCCACCTCCGCTGGTTCTTCCTTCTTAGTCTTGGTCCCCTTTGATTTGCTCTTCGGTGCCTTCTTCGTAGATTTGGATTTTGTGCTGGATTGGGACATGATGCTTTGGCCCATCGGGTCATCTACTTCCATATCGGGCGCTTCGGATGCAACTGAACCAACGGACTGGGTTGAGAGCCGGGAGGATGCCTTGGAAACCCGAGGTTTCTTAGCACGAGCGGATTTGCTCTTCTTTCCTGGTGGCTGGGCGAAGACAAAGAATGAACAATCCGAGGAGCGGCGATAGTGTTCGTCACTGGGGTAAGTCAGCAATCGTCCAACTAAGAAAGAGCGATGGATACTCACAATGGGTCGTCTTTGGGCTCCCAACCGTCCAAAGACAACTTGCAATAGACACAACTGGCCAGGTCATTGCTCTCGTCTGTAGGGCAGAAATACCATCCGCCTTCTACCATCTGTCATTGTTGTGAGCCAAAATAATATGAATACGGTGAAGTCACGATTTACCTTCTCCGACTGGCATACCCAGCCCTTTTTCCCGTCATGAGGCCACACTGTACCAAATGTTGCCAGTCTCGCTTGCGTAATTCGGTCGCCCGTAGGGTCTTCAATCGAGGCGGGGTTGGAGCTACTCTGTTGGAGGTCCATCATGATGGCCCATCCGCAGTCGGGCGCATGCTTGAGATGCTCTGTGATGGGATTGTCGTCCTCCTCCCAGCCATCCAGCGCCCGGTGGCACTGGAAACATGTTGTGTTGTCGGGATTTGTCTCGTATGGTTTGTAGTAGAATCCAGCGTGTGCCAACTATAATCCCGCCAAGTCAATCATCTTAAACGGCGCGTGTAATCTCTTCGAAGAATGACATACCTCAGCTGGTGAAGGTCGCTGGTGCGGCCATGTAATCGCTTTGGGTGTTTTTGTGCCGGAAGATCTGCGTTTCTCCGGCTTCAGCACTAAATCGAAGCTGGCTAGGCGGGCCGCAAAGGTATCCATTTCAGAGCCCATGGCGAGATATCAGGGAGGTCAGATACAATTAGTACTAATGCTCAACATTTAAAGCAACCCTTCGTCGGGGAAGTAGGCGAATTTGTCGAAAGAGTCGTGGTTGTTGATCCTCCGCGTCTGTTTACTTTTGGTTGTTATGCATCCTTCGACACGCGTCCACGTGACCATGACTCAGCACCCGAATTAGAAGCGGAGAGGGACGGGGAGTACGTCAGAGCCGGAAATGTTGACGGGGGGCGTCCAAATTCATTTCACTTCAATTCACTCACTCATTTGCTTTATATGCGGGCTCGTTGACTTGACTTTATTAATTGCGCTACACCCCTCGATTCCTTTCGCCTCAACCCTAATCATGCCGGGAGTAACAGTATGTCTGATCCCCTACCGTACCCGATGATCCCGCTACAACTTATCTGTTAGATGGTTGCTTCCCGAGGAGCTAACCCCAGCTCTCTCTGGCGCCCTCGCACCCTTCGCCGCACCCTTCGCTCCTCCCGACGTATTGTTCCTTCTTCGACTCGCTTCCTGTCATTCAATTGCAATCCAATTACCCCCTACAATGGCCGGCCCTCGGCAAATACCAGCTCTTCGCATCTGCTATGCAAGGTGTTTACCAACAACTCATCCTCCTCCTACTTCTCGACGTCATCCTCTCTGCTGTTACCCGAGAACTGGGACGAAAATCCGAACTTGTCAATTACCAATTTCTCGGAACTTCCCTCTAAGGACTTCGGAGTCAACCAGCATATGGTCATAAACCAAGATTTCAAGGAGGCATTGCGAATGATCCTTTGGCAGTTCAGAGCACCAATTCGCTACGCATTTGCCTATGGATCGGGTGTCTTTCCGCAGACTGGCAGCGGGGTGCCATCCAGCTCACTGCACCCCTCGGCACCCTCGGCCATCCAAAATATGCAAAAGGGCTCCGGGAAGATGATTGACTTCATTTTCGGAGTGTCATACTCCCAGCATTGGCATGATATCAATCTACACCAGCATCGTGATCATTATTCTGCATTAGGCTCGCTGGGGTCGTACGTGGTCTCTCAGGTACAGGACCGCTTTGGCGCGGGTGTCTACTTCCATCCTTATATCACCGTGAACGGGACAATGATCAAATATGGTGTGGTGAACCTAGATACGTTATGTCGAGACCTCACCCAGTGGGACACCATGTATCTCGCCGGTCGTCTGCAGAAGCCCGTCAAGATCTTGCGTGACCACCCGAAGGTGCGATTGGCCAACCAAATGAACTTGCTGTCTGCTTTGCGTGTTGCACTGCTATTACTGCCAGAGAGATTCAGTGAATTCGAGTTATATACCACAATCGCAGGTATGAGCTACATGGGAGATCTACGCATGAGCCTCCCCGCCGAGGACCCCGGCAAGGTGCGAAAGATTGTTTCAGGACAAATGGCGAACTTCCGCCGGCTTTACGCACCGCTCATCGAAAATTTGCCCAATGTCACTTTCCAGGACCCCCGCTGCAGCAACGAGGATTGGATCGATGACCCGAACGCCATCTTAGCCATGGCGCAAGATATGGACCCCGTGATGCGTGGTAACATGGTTCGTCGTCTGCCTGAAGCTTTCCGGCAAAAGTTGTACTTCCAGTACCAGTCTCGCTTTGGCATCCCCCGGGCCGATTTCAATAAGTTGATGCAGGAGAGCAAGGATTCGGACGAGGTTCTTCGCCGGCCTGAAGGCGGTTCGTTTGAGCGACGGATTGCTGGAGATGATGATCTTCAGGAGGAGGTCTCCAAGACCATTGAGAAGACAATCCGCTGGCCAAGTACTGTCCAGACGATCAAGGCACCGTTCACGGCAGGCCTTAGTAAGAGTTGGACTTACCTTATGGAGAAACGCGAGAAGCACAAGCACTCTCAGATGGCAGCCCCTTCAGCACCCGAACCCCCCGCTGTGGTGAAAAAGCCCGCCGAAGCACCGAAGACATTGGAGCCGAAGGAGACAAAGGCAGAATAGGCGACTCGAGTATATTTGACCAAAAGCCCTAAGTTGCAGACATGTGGCATATGGAGGCGTTGTGGATTTTTGTGACCCATATATCAAAATCATCAATGATGTATCTGGTATCTGTGCATCAGCAGGGAATTTTTATTGGACCCGATACATACGGACTACATAGAGCCTTTCATTTGTCTAAACTATACAGATTCAATTTATTTTTTTATTTTTTTTCTTCTTTCTAATTCGCCCGACCCGTCTGCCTGACTTTTCAGTATTTTGTCTTACTAATCAAGCATCAATTCAATTTTGCCAGACTTAATTCTGCACTTTTGAATTCTGGTTTTACATAGTCAAAAAAACCTTACGTTTTGATCAGAAAAAAACGTGTATTTTATCTCATGCCTATATCCTTGAATCTATTTATGATGATAGAGCGGTCTTTGGAGTAGTTGTTGCAGTAGTTGTTGACGATGAAGTAGCTGATGTGATAAACGTGACTTAGTTTTGTTAGTGGTTTATATACAAATTGTAGGTATCTACCGTCTTGCTAGGGAGTTCGACACTAAGGCGGTGTGGAAGGCGGTAAGCCGAATCACAAAAAATAGGCCGGGGGGGTCGCATTGGTCAAAGGGGGGTCCCTTTAACAATCCCAGATATTTCGCTGGCCTTGCCCTACTTTGAAGCCTCGGAGTACTGATTCCTCATCTCGTTGCTCAGCTAGCTGCCGTATGCCGCTTAAAATAAATCATTATTCTATGCCCTTCCCTTGCAAATCATGCAAAACCCGGTACGCTCGCTTCCGCCTTAGGAAGGCACGATTCCTACGGGGAAGGAACCAACGACCCTTGATCGTAACAGAAGTTACTCAGCTGGCATCCCCTCCTATCAAGTAGACCATACCCCTCGTACACCCACAGCAGTTAAATTAGGCTTTCATCACCGAGGCACCGCAATATAATTCCTAGCCAAGCTCATCTGTACTTTTTTACAACCCACCCATCACTCATCACCGATCATAAATCTCTCGAAATTCTTCTGCATTCTACTTCTGGTCAGGTATTGTAGCTCACTATTATGAGGCCATTTCTGTTAATCCCAGACCCCCCCCCTTTCGTGTGTCTTACTGATTGGACCTTTGCGAGGACTTAGAACGATGGCTCAAGCCCAGAAACAGCCAACTGCTCGTCAACTCGCAAAAATCGATGATTTCTATATCCCAGCAGACGAGGAGGATTGGAATGACCTTGTCAGCCACAAAGCCGGCTTGAGAAATGAAACTATCCATACCATCCCAGCCGACTGGATTGCGTCCGCCTCGGAGGCCACCGAGGTCCAATCTGCGATGATCCGCTCGTACTCGCGCCCAATATACCCTGTCGCGTCTTTCAATGACAAATACCACCAATTTGGGTTCACCACTGAAGCTTTAGACACAGCTGCGGGTATCCTCGCTGCCTCGGCTGAATGGTCCCGATACATGCATCTCCTCGATACAAATGATTCAATCGACGATATCGGGGAGACTAGTACTATGTGGCCAGGGTCTTTCTCTACCGCAAGAAGATTACAAGAGCAAACGATAACTGTCCACGGTATTCGTGACGATATGCAAATGGGCCAACTTCCTGATGCCGAGGACGAGGCAATACCGAATGCCGCCGCCATCATCCTTCTTCAAAGTATCTCTCAACTTGTCCACTCAAAGCTAGAGTGGGTGATTAACCGCGTGCACTTCGGGAGTCAATTCCACCAGACCAAGTCTACCGCGTATACGGATGGCGCATTACGGTCAAAGAATACGATTGGTATCTTCGCCATCGTAGAAGTAAAGAGGAGAATGCGCCAAGTAAACACCGACGCTATCCTTACGCAAGAGGCATGTGAAGTCGCGGGGTGGTCGATGAGCTGCCACGGGCAGATGGCCCACTTCAACGAGCAGTAAGTCTAACAGTCTTTGGATATTCGACGTCCAATAAGTGGCTTCAAAGAGCTTGAATAACCAATGACGCCTATCTTCTAGCTTCCTATTGATTTCACAAGACCGACATGAGCTTTTCATCACGTTCGTGCCCTTCGATAAAGGATACGAAGAGTGTTTGAGCAATGGACAAAACACTGACGCATTCCTCGTCATGAGAACATTCGGTCCCTTCGACACAGGGTCAGTCAATGATATGCATGAGTTCGGTAGGGTTGTTCTCGCAGCCATCCTCATTGTCATGCCAGTAGCCTGAAGCCACTCAGCCTTGCTTGTCGTCTACTTCGCGAAATAAAAACCAACTGTCGTGATTATATTCTTCACTTTCTATCTTATTCTTACAGATGGTGTAAGAGACTTTGAGCAAATCAATTCAATTCCAAGTAAAGACTTATTGATATGTGAACTAGCGACTGAGTTTAGGAATAGCCAAGGTGTCTTTGGTTCTTGCCGCGTGACTTAGGACCAGATGTAGATATTAATCCCCTGTCACCGTTGCAGCGTAATAAAAGGCTCCATTGGAAGTTTGGTTACTGGGTAGCTCCCTCCGATGGCTCTGGCTCTGTACCTGCCACGACTCGTGGGCGCATTTTGCGGAACATCTTCCGAATGGTTCCTCCTTTCGCGGTGTTTACCTTCTCGGCTGTTCGTGAAGTCTACTTCATTGTCAGCGTGCTTCCCAAGTCGATTATATCTGGAGCACAAACCTTTGAAATATCCGTAGGAACTGTGGGTCCTCTAGGATCTCCGACCAGGTCACCAGCCATAAATCCAAGCAGAATATTCATGCTCTTGTTAGCGACTTGGTTTGTCGAGAAATCAAGAAGCTGGGTCTTCTTGACGACTAGCTCTTGCTGGCTAGAATGGGCTTCGAGTACTCGAGCTTTCATTCTTCCAAAAATCGTGATAGCCATAACCTATGTTGTTAACATATATTAGCTTGCATGAAAGATAAGTATATAGATCTTAAATCCATACTCACAGGAATAGTGTTATATTCTAAACATTCCTCTCCCTCAAGACGCGTGATCATGGCTGCGGTAAGGGTCATCATTTCTGCGCGAGATAGCTCTTCGCTGGGTTCTTCTTGAATCAAAATAATGATTAGAGTATGCGGTTTTCCAGGATATAACAGTTTCTTCGGCACAAAGGCAGATGCCGGTGCCCATCGCATTGATCCCCAGATAGCCGAGTAAAATCTTTCGGCAAAAACAGATGGTACAATAGTTCCACTATAAAGCGAACGTGAGTTAGTATCCCAATCGTATCGCAAAGGCGGTAGATTTCTTACCTCTTCAGCCATTTGGATATTTGCCTAAGGTTAGGTGGAACTCTGCTATCTCCTTCAGGGTAGAACTCTCGGCGGAACTGGAAAAACATCCGCTCCAAACCCAAATAGACATACCAGACCTGGGCATGAAAGCTCTGGACTAGTGGGTTGTCTTTGACGTTCTCCCATCCGTCGGTGATTGCCCTTAGATCGCCCTCACATTCGACATCAGTAATACGAACAGGGGCCACCCACGTTGCACCTCGAGGCTCGAAGAAAATCGGGGTGGAGAGATCGGAGTTTGGGGGCTGAAGATGTTTCCCATCATCATCTAGCTCAAGCAATCGGTAATCAATACCAAGAGACTTGTAGGAGGTGGGGTTGATTTGGGCAGAGCTGTAGATTTCGACCCGCTTATAAATCGCGTCGATAGCGGCAATGACTTCACTGCGAGCCTGTAAGTAGGCTGCGGCCCGTTGGCGCTCACGATGCCTCAATGTGGAGAAGTCAGGGGGCATTTCGATTAGACGAGGGTATATTAAAAGCAAAATGGACAAATGGATGTTAGTTGATGAGTTGAGAAATCGTTCGGTGGGTTACAAATGTTTAGGGTAAACAATGGACAATGAACAATGAATGACCGAATATGGCCCGGAACCTTGGTTTTTATTATGGTCTAGGTATCTCTCTCCCAATTAGGTAAGTATGAGACCGCTCCTCAAACTGGTTGTACTTTATCAATGCTGATTTGTGCTCCTGCTATTCTTCATCCTCTCATTCTTTATTTTTGAGACCGTTGTTTGCCTCAGGTAGGTATGACCTTACTCCCCCACCTGCACTTCCTTTCTCTCTCAGAATACCAAACCAACGCCAGACAAAATTGTGGTATCAAGCTGCAAAAGATATCAACCAGCTGCTACTACGCCACAGTAATGATGAAATCTCGGTTGAGATTATTGAAACAGACCTGTTCAATGGAATATATTAGAATATGACTTTTTCAAATGCTTCTTGTAGTCCTCTACTCCCCAACCACGCCTCCAGTGCTTGCATATCACCCCGATTGGCCCGCTGACCACCTCGCTCTCCGAGCGAGTCCGTAATTTCCTCCATCCCCGAAAACACTCTCTGGACACCTTCTGTCTCTCGAAACCTCTCACTGACTTTTTTCTGATAGCTAGGGATATCACCCCAGGAATGTGTCTTGATGAAACTCATATAAGAGTCGATATCAGGCGAAGCACCCTCAAGACACAATACGCCCGGCTTGCCCGCCAGCACAAAGCCTGTCAGAGCATATCCCGGCGCGAGGTTGACCATGTCATCCCTCTTTTTACGGGTTGACAGGGATGGAAAATAGAACCAGACTCGGACAGTTGGCCCCCTGTATGTGTCTTCTGGGGCCACGGTCTGAGACTGCTTGCTTTCAAGAAAGCGGCTGGCTTCTGCCTGGATATATTCGAATGCCTCTAGAGCATCATCGCCTTGCGGTATTGAGGCAGTAAGTCCAGCAACTTCGGCTCTGGACATCCATTCTGGTTGTCGAAGTGAATAGCCCAATGACGGTGATTGGTCCAGTGTCTCTGGATTATCACATTGCAGTGGCACGGAAATGTTGACTTGTATTGTTCTGTCTCCGTCTGCAATTGGTAGGCAGACGGTGAGAGAGAGGCTTGAGGGAATTCTGGGAGGTGTGAAGGTCGGATTCTCGCACCAGTCGCGGAGTTTCTCAACACACTGCGTTGTGGATTCGGGGATTTCCAGCTCGCCCGGGGACGGGAACATCGCCATTAGGAGGTCAATCGTGGACAATTGAGATTCCATGATATCCACCGGTAAAATTGACGGTCCTTTTAGGGCCATTTCGTTCATTACGAACGCTAGAGCCACCAATATCAAAGGACCTGCATAAAACCCAGTGAGAGGAATTTTGATTTGAGCTGATAAAATCGGAAATGTGCGGAATAAGCAATTGGGTGTCTAGCTTGTAGGCGTTGGTATAAATGTGCTAAAAGGAGCAAGGTGAGATAAAAAAATTGGACGCTTGATTTCTTGAGCACATTTGTTTTTTTGACTTCCTTCACCCAGTTGAGGTCTCAAAATTGCCTATCTTGGAGGCAGGGCCGACCTCGGCCCCGGGGCCGGAGATCATGCTTATGTAATCATAGATTGATCATTAAAGATCTGAAAGAATCGGACATGATCGTTCACTTATGCGGCCTTCTCATATTTTTGTGGAGGTCTTCTTTCCAGATTTCCCCTCTATAGCGTTGGAAGCTGCTCGCCTACCTGATGGATGTTCCGAGGTATGTACCGATTAGGCTTTGGGCTAGACCCGATTTGGGAGCGGCTCTTGTCATCCGGATACTATGTATTCATCTGGGCGTCCGTTTATATGCCATATTCTCTTTCTTTTCCAGTCTTCTTCTCCTTACTCCTTGACTTTTCGAAACTGTCAGCATGATCAGGCAGGGTGCTCGCAATATGTTTGAAGAGACAAGGTTGGTGCCTGACGCACACTACGCAAAAGCCCCAGCTCATGGAAAAGAACAACTACGCATACTCCATTATGGCACCCGATCTTTCAATATCGCCGTCTTTGTGGATATAATAATAGCCGAATATCGTCTCCGAGAAATCGTCCAACAAGAAAAATCCCTAAAGCGCAAAGTTCGGGTTATAGAAAAGATAGCAGCCGACAAATATGGAGATAAAGCAGCACAATATTATAATCAGGAGCTTACAATTCTACTACGGCAATATAGCGAGGCCGAGTACAAGCTTTACCTTGCCGAAATAATGCTTCCTATTGGCCCATCAAACGGTCGTATGATACCTACGAAAAGATACAACTTGGTATCTCCGGAAAGAACTAGTCGAAAATTGCATGAAGAGAGGTGGCTGTTGTAGTCGAGACTGTGGATGCTGTCATGATCGCCACGAAAGAACAGAAAGAAACAAAGGCATTGGACACTGTACGCCAACGTGTGATTGTTGTTCAAGGGAACGAGGCTTCAACTATACTGCGAGAGAGAGACAAGGCTTTGTCGAGGATTTCAAAAAGAAACAGTATGACAATAACCCGGCTTGTGTCATCCAGATGGTGGAGGCTTTCTTTTTACTGCCAGTGGTGGGAAAACCCCAGGTGAAAACGCAGGGCCAACCTCAGCCCGGCCAGGGTGGTAATAAGCGGTTGTGGAAGCGAATTTTCAGAAAGACTTGAATGGCAGAACGACAATACTTATTGCTTGATTGTATCTTCATGCGCCTAACGCTGCTTGCTTCTTGCTTCAGAGCCTTGCTGCTGAGAGAAAGAGTAGCTTGGTAATTGTTTACATGCACTGTTGTTATACCGAGTTCTCATACCATGTCCTATCCTGTAGGATCTCGAAGGGCATTGACCAATGTCTGTTTCACTGACTGACCACCTCTTGTCACCTAAAAAGAATTAAAGATATAGTTCATATGAATATCTTTTCCCCCAAACATGCTGAAACCAACAAAAGCACCTACCCCGCGTTGTGTTCTCAGCAGTGAAAATATATTCAGAAGACATTGTAGTAGAACCGTAATGTCTGTAATACCATTGGACTTGTAAAGATATGTAAATGTGGAATCTCATAAGAACCTTGGAAGATATACACGCATAGATCGGCATTTGACTCATAGAGTTCCGATAAAACCACCCACCTGAGCACCCCACCAACTTTTGCTCAACGTCTCACACTCCTCCCAAGGTCACCACAATGGCTTCAAAATCTCCGTTTAATTTGGCCACATGCGCCCGGCCTAATATCCTGGCATTGCAGCCCTACCGATGCGCCAGAGAGTATGCTGCCCTTTCCAAATTACCGGTATCGGTGAGCTAAATGAGTCAGTGACTACAAAGATGATGGGACGAACGTCCTCCTCGACGCCAACGAGAATGCCTTCGGGCCTGGTCTTGCCCTGAGCAGCAAGGGAGAATTGCAGTCCTCCCAGGCTGGCAATGCCACGGGAGCCTTCAATCCGGAGATTGACTTTCTCGGCCTGAACCGTTACCCCGATCCGTGAGTGAAATTCTACTGTCGAATCTCATTCAGACCAATTTGGCTAACAATATGTGTCACCAGTCACCAGATTGAGTTGAAGCAGCTCTTCTGCAACCTCCGCAATACCCACCACCACACCCCGAAGACCCTCCTCCCCGAGCACATGTTCTGCGGCGTTGGCTCAGACGAAGCAATTGACGCACTACTACGCTGCTTCTGCGTTCCCGGCAAAGACAAGATCCTCACATGTCCCCCGACCTACGGAATGTACAGCGTTAGCGCACAGGTAAACGACCTCGAGATCGTCAAGGTACCACTAGATGCTACAAACGGGTTCCATCTACAAGCCGATAAAGTCAACGAGGCCCTATCAGCCGACCCATCAATCAAGCTGGCCTACATCTGCTCGCCGGGCAATCCGACCGCGAACCTGATCCGCAAAGAGGACATCCGTAAGGTACTCGAACACCCGACCTGGAATGGTATCGTGGTGGTCGACGAGGCATACATTGACTTTGCGCCCGAAGGCTCCAGCTTGGCAGAGTGGGTGACCGAATGGCCCAACCTAGTCGTCATGCAGACTCTCAGCAAGGCATTCGGTCTGGCTGGTATCCGCCTCGGCGTGGCCTACGCCAGCCCGGAGGTCGCACGTCTGCTCAACAGCCTCAAAGCGCCTTATAACATCTCCAGCCCGACAAGCGCGCTCGCCTCCGCGGCACTCACAGGGCCAAATATGGCAGTGATGCACAGTTTCCGCTCGCAGATCATCGCTCAACGCGATCGTTTGCTCCGCGAACTACCGGCGATCCCCGGTGTGGGGCAATTCCTTGGCGGTAGCGATGCGAACTTCTTGCTCGTGGAGATCCTGGACGCCGAGGGCCGACCGAGTAACGTGACTGCGCTTGCGGCTTACGAGGCTATGGCGGAGAAGCGTGGTGTAGTGGTCCGCTTCCGTGGGAAAGAGCTTGGGTGTGAGGGCTGTCTCCGTATCACCGTCGGTACGGAGGCGGAGGTTACCAAGTTCCTACAGGAGTTGCGGACCGTATTGGGTGGGCTGCGTGCTGGGTCGGGAATCGAGTCGGTTCGCGATGAAGCAAAGCGGGAAGATTCGGCGTCCGCTGTGGTTGGATGAGGGTTGCGCGATTAATTTAGAGGTAAGGTTTTGGGAGATAACATTCCCCGACGGAGCAGGGCCGGAGGTAGATAATCGTGAGATTCCGTGGAATACAGAAGTCCAGGGCGAACTCTCCAGAGCTCCTCGCTTATCGGGGACATTGTGCCTTTTATACCCTGTCGATGCAACGTAGGACTGCATCTATCAAAGTGGTAATCGTCCACGTGTACACCGTAACTATAGCAGATCGCCCTCATTGGAGGAATATTGTATGCCAGGGTCAACAATGTCATGCTAAAGAGGATTATTCTATTCTTTGTTCGATGTATTCACCCAGATCTATCAGGTCGTTGAAAAAGTATGAATCTCCCAGATTAGCCAGTCGAACCTCACTGGCTGTTTATACGGAGGCTTCGCTTATCTTGTCATCCTTGATATTTCCCCTCTTCCACTTGGCCTTGAGTCGACAAGGTTTGGCGACTTATTATTAATTGCCCCTATCTCCCTCGACCGTTATATCGTACCTGAGAACATCTCTCTTCCATCTCAAGATCGTCACTTTCCATCCCTAGTCTCCGCAATTCGCCCCATAACCAGCTAAAACATCCCCACACTTTCCCACGTGCGAGCAATGTAAAAGCACATTCTGAATCGCTTTCTGCGAGACTGCTGTTTTCGCATCATGGCCTCCATGGCCTCCAGCGCCATGTCGCTAGTCGCGCGTGGCATTTATTCCGAGAATCTGCCGGCCATACAGAGCAGATCTGAGATCAATCCGACGCTCATGATGAGCTGGTGGGCTACCATATTCTCCTTGGTGATCATCGTCGTGCGCCTATGTGGTCGTTATATTCGCGTCGAGCGCTTTTTCACCGAGGACAAGGTCATGATGATCAGCGTCATTCCCTTGCTGATTCGCATGGTCCTCGTGCATTTCGTTCTCATCTTGGGGACCAACAATACCACCACCATCGGCTTGACAGAGAAGGAGATCGCGAATCGAGAGCTGGGCAGTAAGCTGGTTCTTGCTGCGCGTATCTTCTACGCCGTCTTGTAAGACACCCTTGTCTTCACCTTGGATTAGTTCAAAATGACTCACAACCACGACTATAGCATCTGGACGACCAAAGTGACCATGTGCGAATTTCTAAAGCGAGTCACAGGGCTTGCCTGGCGCCGATCGACAACTTTCTTCCTCCGCTTCATCTCCTACTTCCTTGTCTCAACCCTAATAGCCGTGGTCATCGCAACCCTGGCCGAATGCCAGCCTTTCTACCACTACTGGCAGGTCGTCCCAGATCCGGGCCCAACCTGCCGCGCCGGCTACGTGAACCTAATAACAATGGGTTCCTGCGACGTGCTGACCGACCTCCTCCTCGTGGCTATCCCAATCCCAATAATCCTCATGGCGCAAATGCCTCTAAAGCGCAGACTCACCCTATCCAGCCTATTCTGCCTATCTCTGATATTGGTCGCCGTAACCTCCTACCGCGTCTCTTCTGTAATTGACAATGACGGCGCCCAATCATACCGTTCCCTTCTCGCCTCCCTCGAAATTCTCGCCGCAACAGCAGTCGCCAACGTCCTCGTCATAGGCTCCTTCGTCCGCGACCGCGGCGTCAAGAAACTCAAATACAAGCGCGCCCAAGGCTCAGCCTCCGTCTCAGAAAGCATGGACAAATCCTTCCTCCGCAGAAACACCGTCATGCAAAACCAATGGGGCTCAGACTCCGAGCTCGCAACCGGCCTCTGCATCCGTCTAGACCCAGACATCTACACAATCCCCGACACCCCAGACACAACTCGTCTCCCCAGACCAGCGCCCATCACCCCACCAGCCGCACGAACCGGCGCCCTCGATCCAGCATGGTCGTTCACGACAACCCGTCGCTCGGACGACGACCACGCCTCGACAACAGACAGTCTCGAGCGCAAAGTCTCGCCGCACGAGTACCTGCGCACAAACCAGTCCCCGCGCCAAAGCGTGCCCTCAGACACGCCGCGCCGCGTGTCGTTCTCCGATGTCGGCGGTTTGCTGACAAGAGCCCTGCCGGAGTCTGGGCCGGAGCATGTGCGCGCCCAGACGTGCTTGTCCTCGCCCGTGGAGCCTGTGCAGCGCCGGCGAGGCGGCGGCAGCCGTGCCTTTTTAGAGGATTTGGGGATCTTCAGTCCGTCGCGTGCTATCTTCGGGCATCGCTCGCCGCTTCCTGGGCCGGCGGACCTGCCGTTTCCCGCCTCGGCTTTTGGGAATCGGTCGGTTGCGATGCCCGGTTCTTCGGATTCCACGCTTGACACTGATGTCGAGCTTCATGATGTTGGGGGGTTGTTATCGCGAAATGATCGGTAACTACTTCCAATATTGATGTGATGTGATGTGACATGATGTGACGGCTGTTTTCCTTTTCTTTTTTTCTTTTTCTGGACATTTTCGGCTGAGGCTTGTTGTCTCCTGTACATGCAATATTTGACTGGAGTCTCTTCTTTTGGGGTTTGGGAGACTATGTACACATCTCGTACCCCCTCTATACCTTCTGCTTACTGCTTCCTGTTCTCTTTTTATTCCCCCTCATGCGATTATTAGCGTTGGTGTTGGTGTTATCTCCCGACATCCGTTGGATACTTCCAACGGCTTGGACATAACTGGCACTCTTTCTCTTTGGAGTCTTGCGAATAATGTACCCATACATAACTACATACTACCTACATTTACATACATTCACGACAGATACGACTGACAAGTATTTGGAAGTTAATTCAATATCATATCACATGATAATGTACAACTCTGATCAGAGTATGACTGGGCTTATCTCCTAGGCTAGATGAAATAAAAGGCTTCGATTATATGAATTTTTGGAAACAACCAGCTGTCCACTTATGAATCGTAGATATAATGCATATGCAAGAGCCAAACGAAAAAATAAAAATAAAGAAAAAGCGCAGTGAGAATGCTAGACAAACGCTAGACTTCATGTATAAGTTGACGCATTGAGCATGTACGGATAATTTCCTCCTCGAATCTATGCCTTTTCCTCGATCGCAGCCTTCTTGAGCTCCTCCTCAACGTCGGCCACGGCATCCTTCTCCTGAGCCAGCTCAGCCTCCGCTGATGGAGTGATGTTGTCTTGGGCGGGCTTCTTGGCAGCGTCGGTGGCCCGGCCATTGGTCTGAGGGGCGTTGGCCTTAGTCTCCTCCTCTTCCAGGCGGGTAATCTCTTCCTGGGCCTTTTTGATGTTCTGCGGGGTAATTAGCAACTGCTCACAACCGACAACCTTGGAAATAATAATTACCTCTTCTGTCTTGCTAGCCTGGTTCTTCTTCCACTCGGTGATCTTAGCAGCCAGCTTCTCCACGGAGGCGGCGACATCCGACTGGTTCATAGGGGGGTCGATCTTGACCTTGGCGAAATCCTCAATGATACCAACATTCATGTTGAACTTGGTGTTCTCAGCACTGGCGGCGGCACCACCCTTCTTGCCGCCCTTCTTGCCCTTCTTACCACCGGAACCGATAAAGTAGTCCTCCTCGTCGTCCTTGCGCACAACCTTCATTCCCTTGATCTCGGCGGCCTCAACAGTGCGGCCAACTCCGGCACGGAAATTGCTGCCCTCATCCTTCTTCTCATCCAGACCCAGGGTGGTGAAATCATAAGCGGGATCGAAGTGACGGATCAGACCCTGTGCAGTGAGGATCTCGTCGGTGTAGGCAAGCTGCGAGGCCTCCTCCAACTTCTTATCGGCGATCTTCTTGCGCTTCTCGCGCGCAAAGGCCTCGTGCTCAGCCTTCTGACGCTCACGGCGTATACGCCAGGCCTCGTCCTCGTACTCCTTGTAGGCACGGCGGGCCTTGAAGTAAGTATCCTTGATAGTGCGAATAGCAGTGTACTTTTCCTGTTGCTCGTTGCGCAGCTTGGTGCGCTCATCGCGCAAAGCGTTCAGGTTCTTGAAAACGGAATCCTGCTCGGCCTTGATGGTATCGAGCTCCTTCTGGATCTCGTTGTACTTGTCGCTCAGGGCCTTGGCCTCGGGGTTGTCGAGGGTCTTGCGCAGTTCGGAGATCTGTGTCTTGATATCGTTGATGCCCTTCTGCGCCTCGTCCAATCCGGCGAAGCTCTTGCGCTGCTTGCGCAAGTTGGAGACCTCGGTGAGAGCCTTGCGCTCATCCACCAGGCGGAGGGTACCAGAGTCGACCTGCTTCTCAAGGCGGGCAATCTCCTTGTCGATCTCATCGACGCTCTTGAATGAGAGCCGCCCGCGAGAGTTGTTCTGCTCAGTAATGCGGGCCTTGAGATTGGCGTCCAAGGCGTTGAGCTTCTCCTGGATGGAGGACCGGCTGGACTTGAAGCCCGACTGCTTCTGACGAATGGCTGAGAGTTCGGCGCGCAGCTCCTGCTGCTTCTTCACGATGGGCGAATCCTGGTTGCTGGGCTTGGCATTATCCAACTTGGCCTTGATTTGGTTCTATTGCGCATATCAGTCATTGGCCCGAGGAGATGGTATGCAAGTAAATAATGGACACGAGGACAATCAACAATAGTGGGTCGGAATCACCCCCGCGACCCAGAGTCAGATGAGAGCTCAAGTGACAATTCCAGAAACAGGCTTCCATACCAATTTCTCCTGAGCAGCAGTGTGCTCCTTCTCGGCCTCAGCGAGACTGGTCTTGTAGGCGGCCTCGTCGGGCTTGGTGGGCTTAACCCGCTCCGCATCAGTGGCAGCCATTGCGACGAATTGAATGTAAAAAGAGAGACAGAGAGAAGGAAGAGACAAATTGCCTTCCGAGGATCCTGAAGGGATTATATAGACCAACAGACTAAAGCGAAACTGAAAAGGGGAAACTTGGAATAATTAAAATGGTTCGGTCGGTTTCTCCGCTTAAGCGTCGCTGGCAGAAAGTTCCCGCCGATTTTTCGACTTCACCTTTATCTCTCCACCGGAGCTCTTTCTATCCAAATTTTTTCTTTTTAAACCCTCCAGGCGAGATAGTACTTGATTACCTTTTCTCTCCTAGTCGTCAACTTCTCACTCCATCATGGATGGGGATTCGGCACACTCCATGGAAGCCGAGCGCGAGATGACTCGGCTCTGGCGCACATTTAGAACAGTCTATGAACTGCTCGCTGACCGGGTAGGTACCCCAGATCGAGTCCCTGACTTCTCAGTGTCTCTCCTATAATGCCCGTTTACCCAAGGCTAACCATCGGCGACACACCAGGGCTACGAAGTATCTGATAACGAGCTGGTACTCCCGCTAGAAGACTTCCGCGCAAAATATGCTGACCCTCTGGGCTACCCCGAGTACGTGAATCCCTGCGTCCACCGCCCCATTGTCTTGAGATAGTGGAAATTTGAGCTAGTCAATGCCGGCACACGTCATTGAAAAGGCACATATCACTAATAGTTCCGCAACAATAGTCGCACCAAGATGAAAATCCAAGCCCGCCCCACCGATACCATGAAGATGAAGTACACACCACTTCCCAGCAAAGCAAACCCAAACCCCCAGCCAGACTGCGGCACAATTTACGTCGACTTCTGCCCCGACTCCTCAGGTGTCGGAACCAAGCAAGTGCGCGCCTTCAACCACCTTGTCGATGAGAACAACTTCCACACTGGTATCTTCATCACGCAGACGCCTATCTCACCCTCTGCCGTGCGCCTGCTTTCCGGCGTCCCCGGCCGCATCTGCGAACACTTCCAGGAACAAGATCTGCTCGTCAACATCACCCGCCACGAGCTAGTCCCCAAGCACGTCCTGCTTAGCCCCGAGGAGAAGGGCAAGCTTCTCGAGCGCTACCGTCTGAAGGAGTCTCAATTGCCCCGCATACAGATCTCGGATCCTGTTGCCCGCTATCTTGGGTTGCGCCGTGGCCAGGTCGTTAAGATCATTCGCAAGTCTGAGACTGCAGGTCGCTATGCCAGTTACCGCTGGGTCATTTAAGCTGCAAAACAAGGTTGCTGCAAATGGGACAGGATTGATATGCGCCTCTTCAGCATGAGCTCACGCTAGATCTTTCTCTTCTTTCTCTTTTCTTTCATTTGGGGATTTTGCAAAACCAAACCCCGGTTCCTGTGAACCTCAACCTCGCAAATTCGAATCGCATCAGGTCCACTTACTGTCTCCGATATGACCTTTTTCCATACTCGCAACTCTGCAGGAAATACCCAACTGGCAGTCGAGAGAGCAGCCGATGCCAGACAGAAGTGGACACCTGGGAGTTACTTTTTTTACTCATTGACTCACATTCAACAAACACAAAAAAAGTTTTTGGTCTCCCCTTTGTATTATGGGCAGCATGGCGTATAGGCGCGAACTTTCTCCTGCTTCAGGGGATTTCGATGGGGTGTTTGCCTGTGATTTAACATAATGGCCCGTGTCTTTGTATCTCTAGATGAATCCAATCTATGAATGGCTGTCTTCCGAGTTCAGGTGAGAAGGAAGTTGTAGATCATGCTTAATGTCTGCTCACATTCATATAGGCTACTGTCTACGCGATATTCCATATACTATATATGGCAAAGTCGTCTGTATTTTGCCGACATCTATAGCCAATTACTATGTATCCTTCTGGCTATATATAAGACTATAAAAAGACATCTCTGTTTCCTGCAATCCATATTTTGTAACTAATCATTTCTATCATATCAACTAAAAATTATAAAGGAAAACACCCAAAAAATAGATTTATGCATTATTGTTCTGGTAGGTATATCCACGGGGTACGAAAATGAGGCCGCGTAAGTATAAAGTCTTGGAACGTGGAAAACCCTGGAAATCGGTTGACTAATCCCCGAACTGCGCCACTGCAACTCTTCCTCGATTCCGGCACTTCCTACTCTTTATTTCTATCACCACTCTTTCCTTACTGTTCGCGGGTTTCGAGTATACACCGAACCAATCCGACAGAGAAACAGCCCCCAAATCCACATCTACTGCGCAATCTCCCCAAATCCGCACTAAGTCTGACATCCCGGGAACTCCACATTCGGCTTCAGCCATGTCTTACAACAAACCCGTAAGTACAAGAACAATCAATCGCAAGCCTGCTTAAAACACAAATGCTAAATATAAATCCCTTCTAGACAAGCCCGCCACCTTCCTACCCTGCCCAGGTCCACGACTCAGGCCCCTACTACCAACAACCGCATCAAAGCCCCGGCGCTGCGAACGACTACTACGGCGGCGGCCAGCAACCACAGCAGGGCTACTACCCACCCCAGCAAGGCTATGCCCAGCCACAGCAAAACCCGCAGGGCTATTACGCCCAAGGCCAGCAGCCGATGTATTACCCGCCGCAGCAGTACCCTCAACAGCCGCCACAGGGTTACTATGCCAATGACCGCGGGAACTCCGGCGGTGGTGCAGGTGGCATTTGCGCGGGTATCATGGCTGCAATGGCTTGCTGCTGCTGCTTGGATATGTTGTTCTAGGCCTCATTTTGGCCTTGTTTTTTAATACGTGACTACGCTTTGGTTTTTGGCTGGTGTTGGAGTGTCTTTTCCAGTCGCGCAAACACGATACTCCTGAGAGAACCATCGAGAGATAGATATTGGAGTTTCCTGGGATTGGCATTTGACTCGGGAACTGGTGCTTTGTGAATCCTGGGTTGGAAATTGGTCTCAGGGTGTGATCGTTTTTTTGCTCCCTTGTATATATCCTTGACTCTTATTACTTATCGCTGGCGCACAACAGGACATGGCGTTCTTGGGTCCTGGTCCTGGGGTTTGGGCCTCAATTGTACTACAATGATTTTTTACACTACTTTTTGTTTACTTTTCCCTCGAGCTGGTTTATGATGTTCTACCTAATTCTTCATTTTCATTTTCAGTCGCTATATATAAGGAAATTTCGAAGATAACCGTAAAAGAAAGTTTATAGATCGGGTAGATACGACTCGCACGCGACCATATGCCGGATTTGTATGTTTGATGAACGGCTTTGATGGCGAGCTTTACGTCTCCTGGAAGGCCGCATGGCATCTTTATTTGGTTAAGAAGAGCTAGGTTATTTGGAGAACAGATGGCTTACTAGCCGAAGATTTATCATGTTGTATCTTCAATCGGGATGCTGTTGAGTGATCAGTACTATTCAATCTTTAGAATGGGATATCTGCACAGCCTTGGAAGGCGAGTTTCCATTTTGGAGATTAGAACAATTTAGAAATTTGTTTGCGGAAGATGAAGATGGCTTATCATGATGGAGGGCATTTTTTGACAAATTAGCACTGACGACAAGGGAATTGTCCGTGTAAGAGTCATATGTCGCTTCTTGCAGTCTTGAAATACCTAAACAAGGTGGAACCAAAGTCTTATATGCATGTTTCTCTGCAGGGTACTCTCACAGTCCTACCAACACCTTTATGCAAATGGGATTATGTGTCAGACGTAAAATAGAACAGATGCTTAGTTTTTGCTATGGTCAACCGGCACACTCGGTGACGGCATAACCGGCATTGAGGAAAGATTCAGACTCACAGACCACAACGCCATATAGATCAGTTTGGCTAAATCATTTGCCAGTCTACGAAGTAGTACTGTACTGTAGCTATCGGAAGGCCTTTAGTACTCTGCTTACTAGGAGATCTGTCATAGTAATTCAGGCATTTTAATTTCCTGCCAGTCTAAAACTAGTAAGAGCTAGTCCTCATTAGGCTATAAAACCATTAAAACTAGGCATCCGACTGTCGGCCGCTATACACTAGGACACAGGACACTCACTATATATAGGATCGTAACAGTTATAACGAATTTTGTATGGGATGAATGATCAACAAAGTTCATAACGAGAAAAATTCGTTATTAGTATGGCGGATTAATTGGTGCGCCGGTACCTGTTCGTAGAAACAGGTATTCGTTTTTCGTTATAATCCTGCCAGGCGCCCAAAACGCATACCAGTAGTTTCCCAACTTCTCAGTACTATTCTTTTTTTTGCCTTTATCTTCAACGTCAGATTCCCCAAATGATGGAAATTTCTATGAATTCTCTACCTCCAGAGTTATGGGCCTAAATATGTCGAAAACTGAAGATCAAGGACGTTTGTGCACTACGACTGGGTTGCAGTGCATTTGCACTGGGAACCTACCACTACCTTGCTAATTTGATCTTTGGTTAAATCTACATTACACTTACAAGCGATGGTCTACGAGCGTTAAGGTACGTGGCTGGCCACGAAATCTTCAGCAGATATGTTACGGTATGTGTATTCATACCTCTTGCCATGCAATGCGTCGAATATAAACTGATTCTTGAGGCTAGACAATGTGGATTGTACCGACCATTTTTTGTGCGGACTACACGTGGGCACTTGAGGATATTAAGCGACTCATTCAATCGTAGGAAACTCTGGAACTTCAGGGACAACGGCTACGACTTCTCTCCAACTCTCCTCCTTCCTTCACGATTCCCCCCTCCTTCTTCCTGCAAGGCAGCCGGTAAGGCGGCCAACAATATTAGAATAATCTGCTTGCCTTAATGTGTGACGTACCGTTAGAAAGTCGTTATCTCATCTACAAGGATGCAGTAGTCGACCACTTCAACATTCTTTTGTCATCTCTAGAGGGAAGCACCACAAAAACGCCCCTTCGAGATGCACTAGAGAGCTGCCTGCCTTCTTTTTCCAATCTGCGTATGGCAGGACTGAGAAACTATCACGGTCATCAGGAGGACGAAACTAAGAGATTTCCCAGGATCATGAGAGGGATAGGAAGTTTGCGGACACAACTTGGCTTCAATCTGGTTTATCCTAGCTCCCTAACCCGGGGTGCTGACAAGTGTGCTCGTAGTAGTTCCTTTCGGGGGAGTCTTTTTCAGTCCTATGTTTTTTCCACACTGTTAGCCACCCTCGGTACAACCCACACTCGGATCGAAAGGCTTGAAACTTCTGGTGGGATGATGGTGGATGATGAACTAGACCTCACACCAGCGGAAGAAGAAGCCTTGACGCCAATTCTTCAACGGCTGCAGCACTTGTCTGTTCGCATTTCCTCAGCCCATACCCAAGATAGTGAGCGGCAACACTTACGCGAAGACAAAGAAGAAGTGGCGTTCCTGCTACAGGAATCAGTGGTCTGGCAAGAAAGGAAAAATCTCCCCGAAAGAGAGAAGAAGAGACTGCTGCCGCTCTTTGTTCAGGCAGCCCCGAGCTTAGAGAGTCTGGATCTCACCATGCATCTCGCAGGTATAAATCCCTCTTTGTTCTGCCGACAGAAAGCCGGCCTTGACCTGACGGACGCACACCTCGACTGGATCTCACAACAGTTCAAGTTTTCTCGTCTATCGGTCCTCTCACTGAGCTAAGTCATAACCACTGTATCCTTCAGGCATATGCTACAAACAGCCCTACACACCCTGAAACATTTGACTCTCGACAGCCTCACCCGGACAAGTGATTTCAGGATCTCGAAACCTCTAGAAAGAGAGCATAAAGACGAAAGTCTGCGGATCTGTCGAGAGGTGGTTGCATATCTACGTGATCACTCTAGGTTACAAAACATGAACATCAGAGCCATGGCTTACCAACGAGCAAAAATAACGGTCGTCGACCCTTTCCACGATCGACAAAAAATTCGTCTTCTTTATTCTTCCAGGTGTTACAACGAAAGACACGGCACAATTTCCTTCAAGGAGTGGATCGACCAACTTGAGTTTGTCATAGCATAGGCTCTAGTTAACTAACAACTAGTTACATCGTTGGCATTTTTTTTCTTTTTACAATAGTATTGAGCAATACAGGTCGAAGTGTACTTTACCAGATACATTATATATCTAGCCTATTGTCCGGTAAGAGATGTATTTACTAACATAGCTAAAGCGTTTGTTATATTTTAATAGAAGCTTCCGATTCCTGTAATAAATTTTGTTTAACATTTGCCAGTTGGTAGCAGTTAATTTCGTTGCTTATGACCATGTCGTAGATATAAATCGAGTGATCTGTGCTAATGATGAGGATTAGGGCCCAACCAGTTCCAGCCCGTATTCTATGTGAGTTACGACTTCGTCTCCGGGATGACATCCACCTCAATGACCTCGGACGAGTCATCTTTAGTGGTCTTTCTAACTACAGCGATGACCTGCCAGATCTGCTGCAATCCACCGTCGACAAGAGGATAAAAGTTGGCAACAAGCAGCGTGATGAACAGCCAGATCAGGCCCACAACCAACCAGGCCACAAACAGCCCCTTGGACATCACTGTCTTTGCGCCGTACATGGGCAGAGGCCAGAGAACGATCTGGCCCATGAATGTTGCCACGGCCCAGATGGCGGCAATTTTTGACATGCGCTTCATATACTTCACTCGTTCCGGACTGAAATAACTCTCACGGTCAAATTGCGGCTGTGAATCACTTTTATCGCTGATTCTTTCGATTTTGAGGAACTCGTCCCAGTCAAAGTCTGAGGGCCGCAGGTAAGACAATACCACTGATACTGGAAGCGGGACAAACATCGACGTGAGACATGCATACATGCAAGGCAGAGTCTCGCCCGTCGTAATGATACTGATCTCCCCATACAGCTTATAGGCAGTCGCGAACCAGATGGCAAATCCAGAAGCCATACCCACGATGGGCGCCACAATGGCGGCGACGCGGGATTGTTTCTTCCAGAGAAGCGCAAAGCATGTTGGAAAGGTTCCGGGGCTATAAGGTCTGTTAGTGAGAATATAGTTCTCTTGGGGTAATTGAGAAATACCAAATAACGATGCCAATCATATATATAGTCCAGTTGAGGTCGACTCCACCCTTATGGAGCACGGTAGCAAAGGTCGAAATGAACAGTGCGCATCCGACGACGCCCACATGCGACCATCGGATCAACTGCTGGTCCGTGGGGTTTTTATTGAAGTACGACCCGTAAATGTCAAATGAGACAATTGAGCTGACGGCAATGAGCTGAGCGGATGCGACACTGGTGCACGCCATAAACAGAATCAACAGAATTGCCGCGGCACCTCCCTTTCCAGCAACTGCCTGCGCCGTATAGGGCAGTACCAACCCCCCAGAGACCTCAGCCTGGGTCATTCTGCGAGGGTAGGTCGGCCATATGGGGGTCTGTTCCAAGACGAGGGCTCCTAAAGGGAGGTTAGATATTGACACGGGTTAATTATGAGGACACATACCAAGACCAACAACCGTGCCAAAAGTGAACGGGATCGCGAAGTAGGCATTTCCACCGATGATATATCCGGGAACTGCGGCTGCAATATCTGCAGAGAATCCCTTCTGCCAGAAGCCCGTATCCATGAATACAATTCCGAAGTTGGTGACGATATGGATAATGCCGAAGAACAAAGACTCGTTGCTGTTCATTGATAGATATGATCCCGCATGGTTGCCGGCGACTGTCCCTTCCTGCGGAAGAGACTTGACCAGATCGTAGAATGCAGTGAGTGAACCGATTTCAGCGACGGTAAGAACTTTGAGGGTGAACCACACCAGGATAATCATGATGATGAATGTGTGGATATAGTCTGTCAAAAATGTAGCCCTCAGTCCACCCCAGTATGTATACACGACGACACCTAGCGGCAACAGGTATGTGCAGGCGTATACGTTCATGCCAGTCAGGGCGGAAACTGCAGTTGATGCTCCTACCAGCATGGACGTGAAATTGAAGATGTTGTTGAGAAGAGCCATTATGATCCATATGATATGTGCAGCACGACCATAGCGTACGCGTATGAGCTCGAGGAGGGTGTGCGCATTTGGCGCCTTGAGCTTGGCCTGGATTGCCATGTAGGCAAAGCAGCAGATCATAACACTCTGTCCGTTGGCCCACCAGATTGGCAGAGCAATTCCGTGCCAGTAGGTGAGGTATGGTGCGCCTAGAAGAGCGGAAGTGAAGGTCCAGGACGAGATAACCGCGGACGCAGTCAATCCTGTTCCGACGCTTCGGTTTGCAACCATGAAGCTACTGGAGTTAGCTGGATTTCACAACTAGGTGCCTGGTTCCTTACGTCTCTGTTGTGTTACTGTCTTCACCGAACACTTTCTTCAATGCTCTTGTGGTGAATACCATGCCTGGCGGGAACAATGTTACTGGCAATTCACAGGCTGCTTGTAGGGCTGAGCGAATTACCTATAGCGAAAGCGACTCCCAATCCAATGACAACTCCATACCCGACTCCCTGGGATAGGGGCGGCACTGGACTTGCGGTCTCACTCATGGTGTCAAATCTGACAGGCGAAAAATCATGCACGGGAAGAATTGCACTTTCCTAGACGTGCAGCTACCGAGACTTTTACCTGCTTTATGTCCCCGCCAGCACCTGAAAACCTTTCATACTAGATCTATGGCGCAAAGCTCTAGCCTCGGCCTCTTCCATCGGTTAGACGCTTTCCTCACTCGGTTGATCGTTCCGCTTAGTATCAATGATTTGAGAATTCTGAGTGGTTCCAATGTGCTGAAAGCTATCTCCGATACGAAATTCCGCGCGATTTCGTCATATATAGTCTCTAAGAGCTCATACCTGAAGGCACAAGAGTCATAGTGGAGTATCAAATCTACCAATCCTACATGAGGAATCAGATCCAGTATTTAGTACAGCGAATCTTTTGGGGAATCGACTCCAAAAGCCCTAGTTAGGTATGTGCCAATCCATAATGCCAACGCCTAATTCCCTTATCATAGTGCCATACCTTGGCTGGATCACGTCACAACGACCAATCTTGCGCCAGATGCACAAGCAATCAAATCCAGTCTTTGACGTCGATCTGCGCACATAAGCGAGCTGCAGTCCGATGCACATAGTAAATGCGATAAATGATATCTTTATATCTTAGTGACGGTGGTGCATATAGAATTCTCCTTATAGCATTATACTTATAAGTGATATCTCGCCTCTCCAGTGAGTTTTTGAAAACATATATGGCTTTGCGATTGCGCTATGTACATTTCTAGCTTTTAGTAATAATGTAAGTGTCGGTAATCCTTAGATTGATGAAATAGTCTTCTTCTTTCTTCAAGATTGAAATATATAGTGCAAATAAACCTTATCGACGACCATCGACAAATAAGGACCTCGAGAGGTAAAACATGGTCGTTGAGGTATGGATGTAGCATTTAGCCGCCCTACCGTCGTCCCCATATCTTTCCCAGGTACAGTTTAGGGGTCCCACAAAGCAGAAATTTCCACATGGCATCCCCATAAGGCTTGGCCATACGGGTATACAGACATTATGCATTATAGGGACTTCTCGGTCCTGGGCATACTTAGGGAAAGTCTATTGGTATGTACAGTGTAAAAGAAGTCTATTTTGTTCAGTATCAGTGCATTAAGTAACTATCTCTAGGTACATACATCTCTTATATAGTGTTTCCAAATATGGTCTTCAAGTCTCCACGTGGGATATATTAATATTTTCTAGCAAATTAATTAGACCAGCCTTCATTATTTTAATATCCGTGTTCTTCCTCTGACTAGTCGGAGGATTGAGAGAATGAGGTCTACGTGCATGTACCTTTTATATGAGCGTGCTATATAAAAGATACCTAATTCTTATGTTTTCTAGGAAAGGTATTATTGAGGCAGTAGGACGGCTACTATGTATTTTGAGTGCACAGCTTGCTGGTGTACACCGCGTGCCGGTGAAATCTCGCAACATCAGACCCTGATTTCCCCATCGTAGAGCCATAACTTAGCCAAATCACGTCACAGCAACTTGTGCCAGATACCCGTACATGAGCAATCAGATCTGGTATCTATCCATGGATTTAGTCTGTCAAATCCTCTTTGAGAAACGAATCTAACATTAATTAGATAGTATGTGCCATTCCGCAATGTCAAGCCCTAATGCCCCCATAGTAGTGTCATAACTTGGCTGAATCACGTCACAGCAGCCATTTCTATCAGGATAAGGACCTATTTAACACAGCAAGGGCCAATAAAGTTAAATGTTCAGGGCGTTCGACAGTGCGTACTAACAGCTCCTGCATCAATTCATCCAATTCCACGCCGAAGATGGCCTCAGAACCCAAGAAATGGATCCTCAACGCCTTTTCCATGAGCAGCCCGACTCATGTCGCTCCAGGTAATTAAAAGTACTATACTAGCCCAACTCTTCAAATGGCCAACACTTTCAATATAGGGCTATGGAGGCACCCGAAAAACCAAACTCACCGGTACAAGGAAATCGCGTACTGGATCGAGTTGGCGAAAATCCTCGACGGCAATTTCCATGGGCTTTTCCTCGCAGATATGCTGGGCATTTACGATGTCTATAATGGTCCGGGAAACATCCGAGAGGTGCTTCCAGGTGCTGCCCAATTTCCAATCTCTGACCCATCGTAGGTTCCTAAAACTTTTTGCTACTTCTATGAACCAATTCACTTATCGCAACCTAGCGCCCCCATTGCTGCTATGGCGGCTGTCACCAAGTCGCTCTCGTTTGGCATCACAGCATCTACTACCTATGAATCGCCGTTCTTGCTTGCCCGGCGATACTCAACCCTGGACCACCTGACCAACGGCCGTGTAGCGTGGAATGTTGTTACAAGCTATCTCGAGAGTGCAGCAAAAAACCTGGGTATGGAACAGCAAATCAGCCATGATGAGCGATACCAGATCGCAGACGAGTTTCTCGAGGTTGTCTACAAGCTCCTTGAAGGGTCTTGGCGGGACGACGCCGTTATTCTCGACCGCGACTTGAAGACATATACGCACCCTGACCGGGTTCGGCGTATCAACCACGAAGGGTGAGTCCCTTAAATTCAACTGAATTCCTATGCGGTATTGATATCAGCTATAGGAAACACTTCAAGGTTGCTGGTCCGCATCTTGTCGAGCCCTCCAGGCAGCGGACTCCCTTCATTTTCCAGGCAGGGGCGAGCAAAGCGGGTATGGCATTTGCGACCAAACACGCAGAAACTATGTTTCTTCCTGGAATGCATATAGATTCTGTCCGAAAGAATGTCCAAGATGTTCGACGGAGCGCATTGGAACAGGGCCGGGATTTGAACGGGCTGAAGCTGATCGTAGGCATTCTTATCATTGTCGACGAAACCGATGAGCGTGCCCAACAGAAGTATGATGAATATTTGTCTTATGCCGACCTGGATGGATCGCTCGCACTATTTGGAGGCTGGACAGGCGCAGATCTGGGAAAGTACGCAGATGATGATAACTTCGAGTTCAGTGGACCCGGGGCCATTCAAAGTATCGTCTCTAGTTGGAGGGCTACGATCCCCGGCAGCGATGGCATTAAATGGACAAAGCACCGAGTTGCGCAGGAGCTTGCACTTGGTGGACCACACCCCCGTGCTATCGGCTCTGCTAAAACAGTTGCTGATATACTCGAGAGGTGGATTTCCGAGACTGATGTTGACGGCTTTAATATATCATATGCAGTCGGGCCGGGAGATCTAGAGGACGTAGTCAAGTATCTGATCCCCGAGCTCAAATCGCGAGGCGTCTTCTGGGATCCAGTCGCGGCCGAAGGACGAACAACACGAGAGAATTATCTTGGACCTCATTTCTCGGATGGCAGGCTGAGCAGCGATCACCCGGGGGCCAAGTACAAGTGGACGGCCACTGATACTTCGGACAGCAAGTAGATCCTGTTATCCTATTAGCAATATAATTTGATAGACAACGCCATTCATTCTTTATATACTGCAGGGGCCGCTAAATCATTGTGGGTCATCTTCTGTCTTTCACCAAGGCTCGTCTCGAAGACATCATGCGTTAGCCATAATTTGGAGACCCTAAAACTCATTCGAAGAATCAATCATAAGACATAAAACATAGAATATAAGCAAAAATGGTATATCGCATCCCAAACCTCCAGAGCACACCCCGAATCACCGATGGTTACTATAATCACTACCCCCACCATAAGCCATAGGATCAACATGCCTAATCCCACTCCTCCTAGATCTCCGCGGCGGACGCGGCGAAATATCAGAAGGCACCGAAGACTCCTCTTCCTCAACCTCAATAACATCCTCCCCAGTAGTAGAAGTAGCCAGAGACTCCTCTACAACGACACGATCATGTCTCGACGTCGGACGACGCCGATAACTATCGCGGAAGCCCTCTCTTTCCTCGACCTCGATGATGTCGCGTCGGCGCCGTCCAGCGGATGAGCCGCGCCGCTTGCGCACCTCCACGACCTCTTCTTCGTCCATCGACATCGACATCGATATCGAGGATGAGGTTGGCGCGGCTACGCCGCCCCGTGCAATGCCCCCCGGGTTCACCGCGAGGAAGAGTACGTACATTAGCAGTACGAAGCCTGCTACGCTTCCTAGTATGATTCCCACTACTGTGCCGGCGGCCGGGCTTGTTTGTAGTCGGCCGTATGTTGATGGGATCGAGATTGTTGTGTAGCGTTTTTGGAGGGAGGTGTCGGTGTGGAGAAGGTTGGCGTTCAGGTCCCTTGCGTTGAGGTTGGGTTTTGTCGGGTCTAGGTCGAAGGTGTCGAGAGGGAGGGACGACATGATGCCTGGTCGTTTGGTCTTTAATTTTGGAAATGTGAGAGTGCGTAGATTTCGAGAGGCACGAGGGCTTGGGTATCTTGATTCGAGCGAGTGGGTGATTTGAGGTCAGCTTGTGAGCTAATGCGCGCTTGTGGAGTTTGATGGCATATGCGGTGTCAGAGGAGTGGGTTTTATTGAGAATACTCCGTATAATGTTGAAGGATGTTAGAAAAGCACAAAAATGTCACACCAAAAGTAGAAGAGGGAGGCTGGGCAGAGGCTGGGCTGGGGTGGCTGGGATCTGCGGAGAAGTGGAGATGACCCTGGAAGCCCTACGGAGTACTTTTGATACTTCAGATATTTTGGATGATAGTCTGATCTATTCATTATATTGTAGATAAATGTCGGATATAGAGACGAGAGAGCTACATGAAGAATGTAAATGCTCTGGAAAATATCAGATTGCGTGAAGAGGACAAGAGAAACTATCTACAGCTGGGACTAATGATCGTTGGGAGCGTACTGTACATAAAAGTCACGTGACCTCGAACAATAATATTGCGGTTTCTTTTTGTTTTTGGCTCATACTCTTTGTATTGTATACTCTGCATTATTTACTTACTTGGCATTAGATACCTAATAAGCCGCTTGACGCTTCTTATACTTAGGCTGATCCACCGACTCAACCTTCAGCGCCGTCAGCACAGGAGTAGTATGAATCAAGTCCAGACTCTCCAACTTAGCACCATCCGACTCAAGCACCCACAGACTCAAAGCCAAATAGTTGGTACCCTGGTAGTTGAGAATACCCTCGGGAACAGGGAAGCTCGTCTGAGGACCGATATTGTTCACATACTTGGCGTACTGGTACCCGTTGACATAGAGCTGGACACGGTAAGCCGCGGGCGAGGAGGTGGTGTTCCCGAAGTTAAAGTACAGAGGAACATCCCAGCCCTTCTCGATGTTCAAATCGAAGTTTGCACTGTAAAACTTGATTCCAGGGGCAGACAGGCCGTCGAAGGGGCTGTCGGATATCCAGCTCTGGGTCGGCGGCTGGGTCTGGTGGAATCCCTGGCGCTCGGCGTATAGGCCTCCCTCGTTGAGTGGGCCGCGTACTTTGTCCAGGTAGTCCTCGCCACCCAGGTTTCCGGTCAGCTTCCAGCTGATGTCACTAGCGGAGCGACCGGACAGGTCGTAGTTCAGGATACCGCGAGGGTTCTTCATTTCCTCTTCGCCGATGATCCAATTTTCGTCTAGGCCCATGTTGTCCACGACTACGGTGAACACGTACGACTTGCCCTTCTTTAGAGTTGGTAGTGTGTAGGTTCTGTTGTGGTCGCTGTCAATGGATATTCCACCCCATGATCCTAGGTGGTTCTCGTTCAACCATACTGAGCTGCCGAATGCGCTACCCCCTTGAGTCTGCACGAAGAAAGTTTTCTCGTTACCGGTTGCGACGAAGTGGCCCCGGAAGAGGAGGGTTCCGGTGTGGAATCCGTAGTCAGAGGAGAGTAGCGAGATAGGAGTCTTGAGTTCATGGACGCTATTTTTGGTGGGTTTGTTTGCTGGAACCCATGTGGAATCATCGTAAGAGTCTTGAATCTCGGGTAGAGTATCAATAGACTTCCACTTTAGCCTCTTCAGAATAGGAAGCTCGATCTTCGGTGCGGTATAGACGACGCTGCTGGACCAGATTCCGTTCTTGTCGATCTTGACCTGCGCTTTCTTCCCGTTGATAATCAGGTTCTTGGCATTGGTCGGAGCGCCAATTACCTCAATCGGGGTCGTGGCGTTGAAATCAGCAGTGAGATGAAGGTCATTGCCCTGCAGATAAGCAGTCCGCACGAGGTAACCAGCCTTGACGATGAGAGACGAGGCGGCTGCCTCTTGGGAACTATAACCAGGGCGTGTTCCCTTGGTTGGGAGCTGAGGGACCCAGTAGTTGTAGGCAGAGTTCCGATCTAGTAGTTTAGTCAGTTGCGATGAAGCAGAGCGGTATCGGAGAAAGCACTTACCCAGAAGAATTATCTTCAGATCACCCACTTGCACAATACGGCGAGTGACTGAGACGTCCCAACCGATAACAACCGCCTTACCCACCTGCTTAATGGTGATGTTCGACGACGAGCCTTCAATAACCGAAGCCTTCGACTGGGAAGAGACAGCCAGCTCGTGATGCTCGCCGGGGCCGCTGTACAAGACAAGAATCTTGGACTTACCAGACCCCGTCCAGGTAAACACCTCAGCAGAGGAGTAGAGGATGTTGGTGCCCGCCACATCATAGTTAACGACATGAATCTTGGAATCACGGCCGCTGAGAGTGAGGCTCCCGCCAAGCTGGGGAATGGTCACTTCACCGGCACTAGTAGGAACCTTGAGCTTATAGTCGACGGACCCTTGGCTCGAGTAGTCGGAGTGTCGAACGATGAAGAAGGACGAAGCCGTGTTGTCGTCTCCTAGCAGAGGAGTCACGGCTATATCAGACGAGGTTGTGTACTTGGAAGTGGTCAAGTCTCCTGGTGTTGAGAGAAGGTAGGCCGGTGAGACTTTGACAAAGTTACCAATCAGCTTCAGCTCGCTGTACTTCTCCCGGGTGATGTTTCGAGATTCAGTAATCGGAGAACCATAATCATAGGATGTGTATCCACCGGGGTGGCCCAGATTTCCCCAATTCGTACCACCAAAGATCTACCGGTGAGAGATTAGAATGGTGATTATGATATGAGAGCCGGAACATACCATGTATAGGTTGAGGAATGCAACTCGGAAGCTGAGATTGTTCTTATAAAACACTCTCTCGAACTCATGGTTCAGGAGAGCAGCACATTTCGTGAACCCAACACCTCCCCAGGGATCAAAGGCACCACCTTGAAACTAAACTCCAGTTAGATTGATAGTCCACACAGGAGATATCCATATATCTTACCTCAACTAGAGAGAATGGGGTCGAAGGGCTCTGGTCCATGTGTGTGGTATAGAAATAAGTGGGCAGATTACCCGCTGGCCAAGTAGAAGGGTTTGCGCAGTCAAAGCCGAGAGGGTAGCTGTCGTGGCCATAGATATCCACAGCCCCTTCGCCAGTTCCAGGGGCATTGTGGCCACCAGCTGAGGCATCGTTGCTAATAAGAGGCACGACAATTCCAGCATTCCGAGCCTGATCCTCCACGTATTGCATATAGGCACCGTCTGGAAACCCGTCGTATCCACAGCAAGCGCCACTGTACTCGTTCTCGGGTTGGTAAAGAATGACAGGTCCTCCATTGGTGATTTGACCCTTCGCGATGGTTGCGGCAACATTGGCAATGTAGCTAATTATCTATGTCAGTATTCACCGTGCTTTAAGTCTTACGTTTCGAAAGGATCACATACTTGTCCGTTGCCTCCAGGTAGGCCTCATCACTAGTTCGTAGAGTTCCATTCACGCGCTGAAGCCATCCCGGGAAACCACCACCCGATGCTTCAGCATTGATGTAGGGACCAGGACGGGCCAGAAGATAGATGCCAGCCTCTTTGGCGGCGTCGAAGAATGGCTCCAGAGCAAATATTCCATCAGCAGTATACTGACCCGGCTTACCTTCCAGCAGAGCCCAGTCGATATAGAATGAAACGCAGTTAAATCCTAGAGCCTTAACCTTTTGGAACACATCAATCCACAAAGATGGAACAGGCAGACTGCAGGAATCTTGGTTAGCATGATTCTTTCTTGAAAGGGCTCATTGATGCCTTCCAGCTTACCGATATGGGTGGATTTCACCACTAAATAGCATGATTCTCTCGCCATTGACAAAGAGAGACTTGTCATCCCAAGTGACCTATACAATTTGCTTGTCAACACAATCATCCTAATCCAAGGACCAACCCAACATACGTATTTCTGGAGCAAATCCCGCTTAACGGGATCCGGGTGCTCGGTGATACTAAAGCCATTTAGCGAATGGGTAATAGCAGCACCAGCGGCCTGGGCTGCCAGACAGGCAATGGCCCAAGAAGACGAGAGCTTCATGGCGGTCGTGACAATTCACACAAGGGTGAAGCGGTGTGCTAGGGACAGAGAGGAGAGGAAGCACTTGGACTCAGGTCCAATTTCCTTGCAATGCAGGGGTTGCGCCATTCATATAGCACGGAGGCTCGAGACATGTCTGACACGAATCAAGGGAATATGCGATTGCTGTACTACTATAGCAATGACCCCTTTCCCAAGCCAGACCTTTCGTCATTACCCCAGACAAATTGAGGGGTCCCCGGATGCTCCGTGTTGCATTGCGGGGGTCTATTTTTTCCACATATCAAATGGCAGGAGATTTTAATCAACTCGGAATTAAAAGTAAGCAATTTTCCTGCGGGGAAGTTGTGGAGGCCTGAATTTAGCCGGTGCACGTTGTATGAGATTCCTAATGATGCAGCTCACTTAGGAAACTACCAAGGGTGAACGAACCTAAGGGGAATTCATGATATTGGCTTTTTGATACGGCAAAGAGATCTCCGCATTAGGAGGAAAAAAATAAAACCATTTACACGGTGGTGTTGAAGCGATCCTCCTCATCGCCATCCTTGGTGTATGTCTCACGATCATCCACTTCGTCCTGCGCTTCCTGTCCAACCTCGAGATTCTCTTCCTTCAGTGCAATGTCCTCGGCCTCAGCAGTCGGCTCGGTCGGCTCGGTCTTGACACCCTGCCTCTGTGTGGTGTTGATCAGAGGGGTGGAGTCATTGAAGATACGCAGCAACATGGCGCGGCGCTCTTCCTTGGGAAGCATAAGGTTCAAAGAATAGAGGGATCGCCACAATGGCAGAACCATGGCCTCACTATAGTTCATGTTAGTAAGACGCAAATATCACTCAAAGGAATGTGAAAGGGGAAAACTCACGGAAGACCATCCTCTCCGACGTTCGCTTGGACGCGAAGAATGCTGCACCCCATGGGGATATCCTTCACTTGCTCGCCAATCTCGCCCAGAGACTTCCAGCCATCGTCGGTGACCTTGGGGAACATCTCCACGAGGAGACGACGCAGAGTCTCCCTTTTGGTCAGAACGACGGACCGTTCAGGGCCCAGCCACGGCTCGATGATTTTCAGGCCATCGGTCTGAACACGCCATCTGCAGACGTTCTCACGCTGTGCATCCTGCTTAACGAACATCTTCACACCGCAGTGGACGAACTTCATGCCATGGCCTTCATTGCAGGTGAGAATGTCCCGTCCCAAGGCACTGGTGTAGTAAACTGTGCGGGTTGGGAGACCTTCGGCATTGCGGACCATGAAACGGTCACGGGGGAATCGATCCGACAACTTGTAGAATTCATAGATAGGAACAAGCTCCTCGTGATTAGGATCAAGGTACTTGAACGGCTCCTCTTGACGGGGACCCTTCTTCTTGAAAGACTGTGCGGTAGGCGCGGAGGTAGAAGGTGTGCTGTTATCAGGAGTGTCAAGGCCAGTTCTCACTCCATGCGCTGGGGCGTGGACGGGCCGGTCACCGAGCATGACTTCCGTGCCATCGTCTAGTCTACTCCTCTTGGCAGGAATTTCTGCTTCAAGGTCACCTGCAGCCCGTTTCACGGGAGAAGCAGGGGTGGATGCATCGAGGGTAGCAGAGTACGGGAGTTGGTGAACGGCCTCAGCAACAGAGGTATTCTTTGCGAGTTCTTCCTCTACCTCTTCATCGGGAGTGACTAATTCATCCAGCGACTCGAGTTTCTCCAGAGGCTGTCCATTTACCTCGTTCTTCCTAGAATCAAGTTCCGCGGCGAGAGCTGCAATAGAACCCTTGGGGATAACGTTGGTGCTCTCCGGCTTGGCCTTGATTTCGGAGGTCTTCTCAAGAACTGTGATGAAGAAACCTCCAGTATCCTGCTGGTGGGGGTAGACACGCATGCATCGGTCAAGCGGCAGGTTGGCAGCTTCGCCTGTTGGGGCGAACATGCCCTCTGCAAGTCTGGCAAGACCATTGATGCCCTCCTGGTCTCGGTGCTCCTCGATCTCCTGCCAGTTGTTCCACATGCGGCCCTCTCGGTCCATCACTTTCCAGTTTCGCAGACCTGAAGCTCTCTTGAGGCCGGGCAGCTCCTGGCTGCAATCAATGATCTTAACGTTGGCAGCGCCACCGCAGCGTTCAATTGCAGTAGCAATGACAGCCTCGTTTTCCACGGGGTTCAGACTGCAGGTTGAGTAGACGACCCGTCCACCGACCTTCAGCATTTGCAGGGCGCGAACCAGGATTCGAGATTGCGTGCTGTAAAGTCCCAGAGCATTGCCAGGGGTCCAGTCCTTCCAGACACCGACGTTCTTGCGTGCGGTACCATCGCCAGAGCAAGGAACATCTGCCAGGATGCGGTCAAACTTCAAATATCTGTTTTGGGGTTTGCTGCCATCGGCAGTGGGCAGAGGAGGCAGCTTGATGGATGGGAACAGTGTGGCATCGTGGTTGGTTACTATTAGATTGGGCGAGCTCAGGCGCTTCATCTGGTGGATAAGCATGTGAGCGCGCTTGTAGTCGCTGTCGTTGGCAATCAGAAGACCGGTGCTTCGGCCATCGTCGTTCAATCCTTCGGGGCCGATGGGTTCAGGTCCAGCAGTGCCGTTCTTGATCTGTTCAGTAACTTGCGCAATCGCATCTTCCTCACCTGCATGAAGCAGCTCCATGAGCTGCGCAGACTTGCTGCCCGGCGCAGCGCACATATCCAATACAGTCATTCCAGGTCTAGCGTCGATGAGGAGAGGAGGAATCATGCTAACAACCTCCTGGCGACTGATATTTCCGACGTCGGTCTCGGCGACAAGGAACTTCTGGAACGAAGCAAAAGGTGCGAATCGGCGGATGACATTCTTAGGAGTGGTCATGGACCAAGCGAGCTGATCTGGGTACCACGAAACTGGGCGCGGGGGCTCGACGAATTCGTCCTCGTATTTGATAGAAGTGATTTCAGGAATGTAACGGTCCTTAAGACTCTGCTGCACAGCCAGCGCGTGTCTAATGAAAGTAAACAACAGTCAATATTACTTGAAACCTCCCGGGGCGCGTCGCAAAAAAAAGCCTAGTGGTGACTTACCCTCGAGAACCAGTGAAACGGAAGCTGTTGGGAAGATCCTTGCGCATGGTAGCCCAGAAGGCCTCCTTTTCCTCCTCCGGAATGAACTCGGGTTCATTGTAGTAGCGTTCGAACCTCTCGTTCTGTCTGGTAATATCTTGCCATTGAGCGCGCGTACGGCCTGCGCCGCCGCCACCGCCGCGGCCTCTACCACCCTGTAAGAAAGGAGACACAGTCAGTACAACAAACGTCTCATATAAAACGTCTGAAAGATAAGATTACCTTTTTGCCGCCACGTTTTCCCATTGTTATGATGTGGTAAGAGTTATAGGAAAGTGAACTTCAAACAAAATCGCCTTCAAAAAATCTCCCGATCAAATGCGGGATGGTTATGTAATCACCGGATCGACCACTGCAGGTGGGCAGAGTCGAAACATGATCCTCAGATGCAGATTGGGAAATCCGACAAGATATTGTTTCGCGTCGGAATTGTGTCTTTGAGCTGGGAATCGACGAAGTGCTGCACTTATAGCCCGCGGTCCTAGGGTTGGGAACGGTGGATCGGTCGATTTGAAGTCGATGTACTCCGCTGACATCTCTGCGAGCCACCTTTCGACTCGAAAAGTGAATCTTCCGGTGTCGATTGTATCAAAAAACTTGACTGAAGAGACCTCCTGTTTTGTGTCCATCCAGAGCTGTCTGAATCGCCTGATAGCTGCCTTGTCAAACGGGTCAATCAACTGTGCTGGCTCGTCTCCGTTGCCAAAGAGGCCTAGCTCCTGAGCTTGTTCGTTGGTGGCTCGGATACAGACTGTGTGTAGGGCTATTATGCATGTCTCCATTGAGGAAAGCACTTCCCATACTATCGAGTGTGGGATCTCGGACCTAGTACGGAAACGCAAAAAAGGGTGAACGATGTCTGCACTGATAGAGACCTTTTTGCATAGAATAGGAACACTTATCAAGTCCAATAGGTTGTCTTCTAGTATGCATCTTTGCGTTGGTGCGACAATCTCTGGAGCATTGAAGTGAATAATGTCGGTCGACTTCCACCACCATCGATCATCTGTCATGCAATCCTGCGCAAGAGCAACACCTTTGGGGAGCTTGAATTTGGCCAGAGCGATTCGGCGTGATTCCAAACAGACATGAGCAATGGTTGGATACTTTCTGTTAAGGACCCATGCTCGTCTGAGGTCTTCCTCTGGTAAGATATCTGGGTCGCATGGTTCTCCAATCTCAACGACTCGCGCTGGAAGGGCAAACTCCCAAATCAGCTCGCGCAACTCGGCTGGAAGGGTAGAGAATCGCGCCATGATGAGAGAGGTTCAGTCACTAAAATATCGATGTCGGTTAGAAGGAAACAGCAGTGGTGAGAAATGATGACCAAGTGAAGATAGCGAGAAAACTTACAAGAGCTCAAGAATTGAACCCAGTCAGCAGAGATGCCAATCGTCAAAGTAAAGTATCCAGATAGGTACTTGTGGTTTGAAGTTCTGACCAGGCTGGCATAGAGTAAGCGAAGAAGGGTAAACTCAAATGCAAAGAACTGTGAGATGTAGGAAACACGAGGACTTGGGTGCAACGACGACCATTTCCAGAGACTCGGCGATAGAGGCAACTACGATGGTGGTGATACTACGCAGAGAAAGAAAAAAAACCTCACAGTGCACTGGAAGAAATAGAACAAACAAAGGAGATAATTGGTATGCTTGCTGCAAAAGCAGCAAACTATATAGTCTACTATGGCAAACCATTAATTGCTATTTCACACACGAATTTGGGATCTAACAGCCCAAGGCAATGATTGATAGTACATTCAAATCAAAGCCGCCAAAAACCCAGTTTTCCTGGAGTATTCAGCAGCTATCTTCACACGCGATCATACTCTAGAACAACTTTACGAGATCATGCGGGACATGTCTGCGCGGATACGCTGGTAGTCGAGGATACCCTCGATGCTGCCGACAGCGCTCATGGCGAGATCCTGATCCCACAACTTACGGGTAGCGAAGTCCATGACGTCCTTCTCGGTGATCTGGCTGACAGTACGCTCAATGTCCTCGGCGCTCAGACGGCGGCCAGTGGTGATAATCTGGCGGCCGATATCCTCAGCGACGGCGGTAGTGCCATCGAGAGACAGGAGGATGGAAGCCTTAAGCTGGGCCTTGGCACGCTCAACCTCAGCGGAGCTGACGTTGTTGCACAGACGAGACCACTCGCGGAGAGTGAAGTGGATCAGGTCATCGAGCTGAGTGAGGTTCTCGCTGACAAGGTAGATACCCCAGAGACTAATACTAAGTCAGCATGTTTTTGATCAAGAATATACATAGATGATCAACAGGAAACAAAACTTACCCGGTGTCGCTGTAGCTGGTGGAGAAGCTCATGAAGCTGTTAGCCAGGTTGTGGTGGCTGACGTGGGAGCTGAGCTTGCTGCCGAGGAAGGGCGACTGGCCCATGGCACGGTCCCAGTTACCGACGATGGCCTGGGTGACCAGAGCGGTGAAGTAGTCATCATCCTTCCAGCTAACACCCTCGACGGCGAGAGCGATGTGGGCGGAGGGGATGGTGTCGTCACGGAGACGGACCTCGGAACCGATGAACTCGGGAATGCGCTTCTGCTCGGCAGTGAGGGCCAGGGCAGCGGAGGTAGGGGGCTTGCTGGGGAGGCCACCGAAGTGTTCCTCAGCGAGTCTCACGAGCTGCTCGTGGGGGATACCACCAGCACCGACCAGGACCATGCGGTCAGCAGTGTAGTTGGTCTTGATGTAGTCGGTCAGGTTGTCCCGGGTGATGGTCTGGATGTTCTCCTTGGGGCCGAGGATGGTGCGGCCGAGGGGCTGGGCCTGGTAAGCAGTGGCGTGAAGGTGGTCGAAGACAACCTCCTCGAGCTGTTTGTCGACCTCCTCCTGCTCGCGCAGGATCACATCACGCTCACGCTCAATGGCACTAGCCTCGAGCTTGGAGTTCTGAAGAATATCGGCGAGGATGTCGACGGCCTTGGGGACATCGTTGTTAAAGGCCTTGGCGTAGTAGACAGTGTTTTCCCTCTATAGTATTCGCGATCAGTATTAGGTACGGTAGACGTTGGTGGGTGGTTTCCCGGCTCGTACCGAAGTGTAGGCGTTGAGGTGAGCACCCATGTTCTCAATCTCAAGCTCCAATTGGTGCTGGGAGCGCTTGTTGGTGCCCTAGTCATATTATCAGATAAAAGCGCTTCGTAGTTTGGGGTTTGTAGGGTCGGACCTTGAAGGCAAGGTGCTCAAGGAAGTGTGCGGTTCCGTTGGTCTTGTCAGTCTCTGCCCGGCTACCGGCATCGATCCACACGCCGACCGTCGAGGTTTGGGCCCATGGCGAGTGATCAGTGGCGATCTAGAAGATTATTAGCTAAATTGCGATATCATTGAGATGAATTGCATGTTCGTACCGTGAATCCGTTGGAGAGGGTGGTGGACTGGGTGGTGGACGGCAACGCAACCGGGGACGCAAAGCCACGCTTCACGGGCTGGATGGACTTCAGGGCCGCACGAGTGCGGAGAGCCTGGTTTAGGTTGAAAGCAAGGCGCCGAGAAGCCATTGGGAGCGACTTGTATGGGTGGAGGGAGGGGGAAGGGAGAAGAGATGGAGAAAAGAGCTGATGGAGACGCCCTGAGGTTGAGGTTCCGAAGTCTGAAATTGTTCGCCCAGCTCAGCCAATTACATAACCCGCTTTTCCAAACCGCCCTTGACATCCCGAATACTTCCTTACACTGCATTAATTCATAATGTGGGCTAGAATACGGTCTAAATTGGCCTGTATATTGTCTTTTTTGTTCTTTATAATGTTCAAATGGGGCTTGCCTGATCCTAACGTATCCGGATATGCCTGGTTTTCCGATCTTTCAATTTCGGTCATCCAATTTCGCGTCTATTGATTGGCTACATGCCTCCAGCTCATACAAACCGGCTCGCAAACTGTCTGATGTTCTCCTCCATCGAAATATCCGCTGCAAAACCCAACTCGAAAGCACGAGCAGTATCAAATCGTGGAGTCCATGTTTGCACAAGCTTGTCGGTGGCAGCGTCATACTTCTCCTCCACGAGATCCCGACGCTCCTTGCCACCAACTTCCAACAAGGCATCCAACATCTGCTGCATACTAACCTTCAGCCCAGGAAGATTAACAGCTCTTGAATCTCCAAATGCCTCCTTGGGTACCTCACGGGCATGAATCAAGTTCTTGATTACAGTGTGCGGCGAGCAAATCCACATCTCCGTCTCCTTGGCCACCGGCAAAATAGCCTTATTACCGTGGAAGGGCTCGCGGATGATATCACTGGCGAAGCTACTGGCAGCCTGAGTGGGCTTGCCAGCTCTCACGGTCACCGTGGGCAGACGCACGCACCGGCCATCCAGGAATCCGCGTCGCGAGTAGTCGTTCAGCAGTGTCTCAATAATGAGTTTCTGCGATCCATATGAGGAGGATGGCACAGGAGGGAAATTTGTCTCATCAATGACGAATCCTGGTGGTGCAAGGCCGTAGACTGCCAGTGATGAAGTGAAGACCACCTTCGTTCCGGGCACGGTCTTGCGTAGCCGGTCCAGAATGTACCGTGTTGCGTCGAGGTTGACACGGATGCCCAGCTCGAAATTGGCCTCGGAGCCGCCAGACATGATACCATGGAGGATATAGACTGTCTCGTAGGGGTTGGATGCGCTGATCAGCTCGTCGACCTCTTTGGTGGAGGTGAGATCCGCCTTGACGCACCTGAGGCGGTTTGCATACTGTGCAGCCGACTCTGGGATCTCGGGCTCAACGATATCGGTGATTGTCACGGTTGTCGTGGCTGGTGTGCTTGCAAGCAGGGAAGCCGCTAGTTCCTGGCCGACATAGCCCCCCGCACCGGTGATGAGAATCGACATCATGGATATGTATAAGACAAGGTAGTTTGGGTAATTGGGTCAATCGATGCCGGTAAGTCTGGCTATTAGCAAGAGGGCAGTGCAATGAATAGCAGTATATTCAACTATGTAGAACGGAAATTACATGCGTTGCCATTATATAGTAACACACCTTGCGGGGTTGAAGCGGAACTTGTCTCTCCCCCACGCTCGTTCGGTCATAGTAATTCCCCATCAGCCAATCGTATTATCATATCCCCCCAATATGATCGATTAGTCCAAGTTCTCGCGCATCAATTCCGAGTCATTTTCTCGGTGCAAGCCTCGGTCATCAATCCGATTACCGGGAGGCCCGGGGCAAGTCCGAGAATGCACCATTGGGAAGATGACCTACCTTTTTCATTCCTAGACGATGCTAGTAGCAATTACCGAAGTGCTGCTTCTTTGTTGGAATTGCTCTGAGTCTTTGCCAGATACGCTCTATATCGGTCGACAGACACTTGTAGAACAACTGGCAGCTATATCTACAAGAATGCTCCAATGTTGCCGGCGAAATGTTAGCAAGACTCAAATCGCTTGTATTGGCCACTTGCAGCTACCTAGGTACGGATATCATACGCTAACCATCTCATCACCTCAGATCAAGACACTCAGTATGACACATTCCAGCGTGTAAAATTCATCGAAAAGGAAAACTAAATTTTAAGACGCAGCCAAAAGTACATAGGCGGAAATACCTGTCACAAGAAAGGTGGAAAACATTCGATACATCACAGAACACGAGACGCCGAGGGAACATCAAAAGGGAATGGACATAACCAGAGACCAGAGATTAAGACCTTTATGCGGTACGCTTGTAGATACCAGCGACGATACAGTGGTCACGCTCGAAAGGCTCGAGGGTCAGCTGCTCCTTGGGCTTAATCTTCTCCTCGCGCATCTTCTGGACCTCCTTAGCGAACACAACCTCGGGCTTGGCTGTGCTGTCAATACAGTTGGCCTTGACGGAGACAATGACACCACCTCCATCCTTGAGGAACATGTGGGCGTTCAATCCGACAATACGGGCCTGATCGGGCTGGGCAACATCGGCAAAGATGACATCGACCATGGGGACGAGCATACGGTAACGGAGAGGGTGACGGGCATCCTCAACAATGGGGATGACGTTGGTACGGTGAGTGGCCATGCCGATCAGATCACGGCCAGAGCGGTGGGAGAACTCGACGGCGTAGACGTTACCAGTGGGGCCGACAATATCAGCGACGTGAGAAACGGAGGTACCGGAGGCAGCACCGATGTAAAGAACCTTGGAGCCGGGCTTCATGTAGATATCATCAAGACCACCCAACACACCAGCAGCCAACTAGAAAAGGGAGAAGACGTTAGAAAAGAAGGACTAAACAATAAGGCAGCCATGGCTATCGGGGCGATATTGAAGAATTCCGAGAAAAATTCGATGAAATCGCCAAGGATACCATGCATCTTTAGCCCAGGATAAGGAGGAGTATTTACCTTAGAACGGAAGGGGTTCCAGACACGGTACTCGTTCTTAGTGACAGTACCATCCTCAGTTGCGGGGCCCTCGACGGAAATGCGCTTCTCGCCGTAGACAGCAGTTCCAGGCGTAAGGTTTTTCGTCACAAGCATGTCTTCCTTACCACCGCGAGCGACGAAGATACCGGCGTGACGGTGAGGCTCCTATTCGCAAGAGAAAAGATTACGTTAGTGACTGATACCCATGTCCATGAGAATTTCCAACACTTACAATGACAACCTTGGCACCACCACGAGCACCACCACCACCGCGGGGAGCACCACGGCCACCACGAGGAGCACCACGGCCACCACGAGGGGCACCGCGACCACCTCCACGGCCGCCACGGTCACCGAATCCACCACGGCCACCTCCACGGCCGCCACGATCACCGAAGCCACCACGGCCACCTCCACGGCCACCACGGTCGCCGAAGCCACCTTCAACAAGTCAGCAATGTGAACTATAGTATCGCAACAAGAAACAGGACCATGGCCATCGGTGCGGTAGAATCACCAGCGAGATTTTGGACCTGAATGCTTGCTGCTCAAATGGATCGGACTGAACAAACCTCGACCACCACGGCCACCGCCGCGATCACCACCAAATCCACCACGTCCACGAGGAGCGAAAGAAGACATTTTATGTGTGTTGAGAAAAGACTCGGTTATAAAAGAAGTCAGAGGAGAGGGAGGTTAAGCTGTCGTTTCCGAGTGCTTGAACCGAGTGTAGTTGAAAATTGGAATAAAAGTTCCGAGAGTCGATAAAGAGGGAGAAAAAAATTGGCAACGTATCAGAGATAGTTGGATCAAGCAATTCAAACAGAATTGGCCGCTGACTATCTGTCGGATACGGATCGATACCGATGCTGCTCGTTGATGCGGTCGAGATTTTTTTTTGCGCCTTTGGGATCTTTCAGAAAATCAGAACGGCGCTAGGTTGTTTCCAGTTTAGCGTGTCCTCCGTGTGAGAGCGTCACGTGAGAGCATTCCTCCATGTGTATGTCACGTGATCCGTTAAGCCCTGTATTGTCTGAAATGCAAAGCTGCGATTGAAAATAGACAAAGTTATCGCTGATTATTCAGTGGTGGTATTTCAAGCATGTAGGTTTGAACGAAGTGATTGGACCAACCAAAATATAAGTTCTGTCTGCAATGTGCTCCTGTCGAATTAACCCTGCAGTGGGTGAGATGGAACACTACGGAGTACGATCGATGAAGAATAACAATTAATTCCTTGGCACCAGCTCATAATCGGTCATGAACTAAATAATAGTAGCAAAGTAAGATAGCGCCCGCCTCACATATAGAAAAATCGAATCCTCCGACCAAAGTCCCCTTCTGTATATACAAACATAACAAAAAACAATCAATTACTCTCCAAAAAAGTAGTAGACCGCAGCATATTGCATTTGGAATGCGAGTGGCATACCCTTGCAGGTCGTTGGTGACGATCCAGCGGCAGTGTTGACTCGATAGACACTCTTGTAGTTGCCCACCGTGCCATCGGTAGAAGTGAGATAGAGCCAAGGCACAGCACCGTACTGCCCTGACACTGAACCTGAGGGTGCATCTAATGCACCTCCCTTCTTTGCCATGACAATCCCATTCTGCTTTTTGGGAGTGGTGTTCAAGTTGAACTCGGGGGTTACATCAGTGAAGAAGTGGTGACCCATCAAGTCGAGGTTGGCGGGAGGGAACGAGGCATCTTCGTTGGTCGGTAGGGAAACCGTGTAGGCAAGGTTGGGGAGCTTTGCCAGGAGATCGGGGTAGTTGGCTGCAATACATGTGGCATTGTACAGTCTTGCGACAGCTCCTACAGCCGCGGGTGTGGAGTTGGAAGTAGAGTCCGCACATGTGTAGTTCTAGTTCTATAATGAGCGATGTAACTCAATAAAGTATCTCAGGAGCTTGTCATACCTGCGTGCCTCGACCGAGTGCAACGTATCTTGGCTTTAGCCCTGACGGGCTGGCCATTCCCGAAGCATAGGAAGGCAGGGCAATCTTAGAGACATCGCAAGCCCCCGGTGCTCTGATGTTATGTTTTGCGGTGTTGATGTACTGGCTCACTTTTCCGTAGAATTCTGCCATTTCCTCAGTCCAGTTGTATGCATCGTCAAGGAAGCTTGTTGGGGCAGCAAGCGAAACTGCTGCCAGGCAGATGATGAGGGAAGCAAAGCGCATTGCTGTTATGTGTTCAGGCTAGGCAGATAAATATACGGTCAATGGCGATGACTTTTTTGAGATTAATCAAAGATTGCCCAGCAAGCCTTTGATACAAGTCGGGTATGAAGTATGAAGGAAGGGAGGTAAGCGTGTTGGAGAAGAAATGACAAGGGAAGGGTTGACATGATAAATTGGCCGGGCCGAGGGGCAGCTATACATATAGACGCGGTGGTAATTGCAACTATCCTTCAATTCAAGCATATAACAAAGATAGTAACACAGGTCCGACTCGAAACAATGCTGTGTGCTATTAACAGAGTGATCGATGCAACCTGCAGGTACTAGCAGGGATTAAAGCTCGACCACGGCCTCTCATTGGTAGATGGATGCGCCCAGTGCTGACCCTCCCAGCCTCTTTGGCTTCTGATTTGTCGTCGACTGCAAGCGACTTTGACTAAATCATGATAGCAATGCGCTAAGCAAAACAACGGGGTTTCCCTTGGCGGTTCGATTGTAGGAGCTCGAACCGAGCCAATGTGGTGAGCGCTATAAATTCCCCGGGGCTATTAATAAGTCTGACTGAAGAACAGTGCCATGTGTGTTGGGTTAGATGTGCGAGATCATTGCCAGTATAGGCTAGTGTGCAGAGGCATCGATGCTAGGCCATAATCCTACGATTTGTGCAGAACTCGGGGAAAATATTGCAGGCATTAGCTACATGGGTCCCTGGCACTTATCAAATAGAGCTTTTTCATGTTTTCAACCATGCTATAGTCCTAATTTCGAGCCAATTTGTTCACAATCCGTCTTCCAATGCTGGATTGTGGTGGCTGACATGGCGGGGTTGGCTTCCGTTCTCCCGTCTTGTTTTTTCCCTTTCCAAGTTACAGCGCACCGGCGGCTAAATAACGCCATCTTACATGAAGTTGCTCAGACCCTTTGTAATGATCGCAGCTTGCATCTATTTATGTGACCGATGACACTTGCTTTTATTACCTGTCGGCATTTTTGCCTGTGTTTATTTGACTTGGGCAAGCCACCGGTGAGATATATATATCTGCTAGGCCATAATTCTCCGACACTAATGCATCACATTGACGTCGGGAGTGAAGTCCGAACTGACAGGTATCTTTGTACCTAACTGACATGCATGATTACCCAGAATTGGGATTGACGAGGGCTTAAGAATGTTTTGATATCTCAAGCATAATGCCGTCCAAACATCGTATGTCAGCTACAAAGCCTACATGCACCCGTAGTATTGCGTGAACAACACTACCGAGTCTCCAAGGAGAAAGAGTACATAGATATGAGGGGGTTTAGGAAAATTCCAATCCGACCCGAGAGGCCAAGTAGGGCCAAACAAGTCTCCTTACATAGCCTCAAAAGGGATGTGATTAGGGCTTGGATCTACTTCGGACACACCTAAACACACCTAAGCTCATCACACCCCTTGGAAACATTCGAAATCTACGGCCATCTATATTGGTCTCAGACACATGATATTTGCCAGAAATCAAATTTACACACGATGCCGCTCTCGACCCACATCCCAGAATAGTACAGCGCAGAGAAACACTTAATCCCAGACACCAGGACGTATGATCGTCATGAAGAGAAAGAGTAAAAATAGAAAAGTAAAAAAGGAACTCCGGAGCTCTTCGCTGTGTAAACACCAGAAAAAAACCTTGGAATATTAGTTGAAACCTTCCTGCTGCCAGTCATCACCTTTCAGCTGACTCCCGCCATTACCCGTGCCCACTCCACCCCCGCTGCTACTACCGTATGCAGCAGCAGCGGCGCTACCGGCGGCGCCCATAGCGCTATGTTTCTCGATATCCGTCGTGCTCATCATATAGAGCACAGTAAAAAGTAGAAGATGGAGTGCAAAGCAGTAACCAGCGAACAAGTTCCGACTTGTCCGATTGGCAAGAATGACTCGAGTAAGAGAGAAGACGATACGCTCTGGTAGGCTCATGCGTTTGTATGCGCGCGTGGATTCACGGCCCCGGAACGCAGCAAACGGTGAGATTCGAGCCTCGTAGGCGTTTTGGTATCGGTCAAGGGACAGACCCGAAGGCGTATCTGCAGAGGTATAGATAGAAGTTGAGCTGGGAGTATTTGCAAACGACGATGCAGATGTGGAGGCACCCTGGCCACGACTGTAGGTCGAGACATAGCGAGTCTTTTCGTAGAGACTCAGGTTGTCCTTTTGGAGTGATGCAACTTCCTGTCGGAGGGACTTGACAGTGGCATATAGCTTTGATAGCTCTTCTTCGAGCTCAGCATTCTTCTTCTTGAAGCGGTCGCGTTGGGCCTGGATCATGGGTAGGAGGCCAGAGCCGCCACCAACGGCTTCTCCTGCACGGATAGATTCCATGGTGTTTGCAGACACTGCACTCTGGTCAAAGCCAGAGATGATGGATGAGGTGGGCGATGACGCGCCCCGACGGGCAGAAGATGGATATCTTGAGGTATAAGTTCCTGCAACAGACATCGCCGAGGATGGGAAAGCATTTGCAGCCTCATCTTGCACACGAAGAAGGTCATTCTCAAGAGTAGTTGCCAGGGTGCGTGACTTCTCCAGCTCTGCCTTCGAAGTCGAAAGCTCGGTCCGTAGTGTTTCGAGCTGCCCGTGGATATCGCGGTGCGACATTCGCAGGACGGTGAGATCATCCGTCAATTTCTTGTTCCGGGCCATAAGGAGTTGCTCCAGAGAATTCTTGTCTTTGGATTTGGCCCCCTCACCATTGGCGTCAACCGCAGAACCACCACCAGCACCGTCTCCCGGCTCATCATCATCGCCAGCTGCGAACTCAATCGATCTGATCATCTCTAGCTCACGCCGGATCTCATCGTAGTCGGCTACCTTTGCTAACCGCACACGCAACTCTTCCCTTTCCACTGCTGCCTTAGAAGCTGCCCGCTCCGATTGAAGCAGTTTAGCTTCCCAGGTGTGTCGTTCTGAGTCTTTGTCAAATCGTGCAGCATCTAGTTTGCGAAGCAATGAAGAGTTCTCTGACTGGAGTCGTAGATAATCGGGGTCGTCCTCAACAGAAATCGGACCAGATGCATGTGATACAGCGTGAGCCAGCTCCAACCGCATTTGTTCATTGCGTGCTTCCACGTCAGCCAATCTCAAGCTCGTTTTCTCTAAATCGGCAGAAACCAGCTCGAGCTCAGCTGCAGTAGCGCCACTCCGCGAACCCTCACTATCATCACCTTGATTCCCACCCTCACCTAGGCGCTGGGAAACCTCATAGCTTGCTTTGAGCTCCTTGATCAATCGATCCTGGTTTTCCACTTTCTCTTCTAAAGTCTTCTCCTTTGCCGCCCAGTTATTTGTCTTTTCTGTCAAAACAGCTTCCCACGATGCTTCGATTTCCTGAGCTCTTGATTCCTGGTTTTCCTCTAGTTTCTTCCGCGCAGCACGTTCCTCCTGTAGGCGTTTCTCGGTCTCCTCTTGTTGTCTGGTGAGACGATCCACCGACTTCTGCAATTGGTCCCGTTCTGAGGTCAGTTTGGGAACTGTATCTTCGGACAGGACAAGGGAGTCGACAGAAGCTTCTAGGAGTGGGTAGGGGTCCGGAGCTTCGGATAAGGAAGAGTATAGTTGTAAGAATGAGGACGATGACGTCTTGCCTTGGTTGGTCAAGAGATCGATAAAGGACTGATAGGACTTCAGTAGTGTTTTATATTCCGAGAGCTTAGATTCATCGTCTAGCTTCTTGTAGGCTTTCGTCTTCTGTGCCAGGTCCTTTCTTTGCACGAGTGCATCGCGCTGTTGTTCAACGAGGTCCGCAGCGGTGGTATCGAGTTTCGCAATAGTGTTGGCCAAATCAATCCCTAGATATGTCAGTAAAGACTCAGCAACATATAAGAAGATAATTACCTCTCCAGGCTGAAATGGCGCGTTGGAACTTGTTGGTCTCTTCGGTTAATTTGCTGGACATGGGTGATTCAGGTTGGGTGTCATGTTGGTCCTGAGGGACCAAACTCTCTGTGATGGCGAATGAATCCATTGTCAGTCCTAACCCCAGGGGTCTGCACTGTCACCCCACATCAAATGGCAGTCCACCAAGGGGAGAGATGGAGATATGTTATCGCGAGGAACAGGACACGCGGCGAACGGGCCGATATTGTTCCGGTTGTATGTACAACGTACGATCTGTGGTTGGCGTTGTTGAATACAGATTTATGACAAAGGTGATACAAAAGGTGAGAGGACACCCAGGGACCTCAAGCATGGAGACTATATAATGAGTGTATTGTTTCAAGGCGACCGCAGTTAACCCGAGGCACCCGTTTCCAACAGTATAATGTATGGCAGGAGACAACGACCGCTTATAGATTGGTGACCGCCTAAATGACCGCCTTTATGTCCTACTTGAGCATCGCATTTAAAGCTTCAGATTGTAAATAAAATTAGTAAGACAGAGAGCACCAAACTAAAGCCTAAGAATAAGCTTTTAGGTCCTAGAGAATCAGCTTCAATACTAATGTGTACAAAGCTAGGATTGCATCTTCACACGCGTCGATCGCTTTATCTTCTGCCTGACAAATACGATTAGTTGCCCCTGAGCTTTGGCCCCAGCTACTGACCGCCCTCCCATTGTCACGATCCAAGCTTGCGGGGAGATGCTCAGAACTACAGTCTCATGATGGGTTCAGACGATGGAATTGGTCCACGCAAAAGGCGCAAGACCAGTCCACCAGTGGCTGTGCCGTATTTGTTACATTCCCTCTTCGGGGATGTGCCGTTAGCGACTGAGCATAGCGACAACGTCTACATCACCTGTGTTGAATACTGGAGTAAGCTCTATCTGTTTCGGTGCCTGCTCCATCCATGGATGGCCCCAGAGCTGACTAATCTTGTACAGATGAAAACCTATACATTGGCACATCTGCAGCCGAGATCTTGCACTTCGTATGTCTCCCGCCCTCATCCCCAGACGAAACCGCCGAACCTACCTTTATATTGGCATCCCGATTACCGATCCTATTCGCCCAGAGTCCCC